GTAGGCAAAGGCTGCTGCTCGGGAGTATGTACAGATATCACCACTGTGCAAAACTGCGGCAAGTGTGGAAATGCAGTAAGTAGACCTGCCCCTAGATTCCGGCTTCTTCCGCTTCTAACATTGAGGGGACAGTGTAAAGTAGGTGAGGTCTGCCAGTCTGGAGTGTGCCGTCCTCAAAACAACTGCAATGACCACAGCCAGTGTGGTGTTGTGGGGTGTGGGACCTGTGGCTGTGGCGGCGGGACTGCCTGCCACACTGGCCAGGAGGATGCTAGTGTGGGGTATTGTGTCTTCTGTGCAGCTTGTAGCCAGGTCCCTGATACTTGTGGGTCGAATAAAGATTGTCCAGAGCACAGTGTCTGCGTGCAGACCTGTTGTACCGGCGATCAGTTTACCCCTGGGACTGGTACCCCTAGATGCATTCCTCCGGAATTCCTGAAATGTTAATAAGCAGCAAATGGCCTTCCTTTTCCTTTTCTTTTTTGTTTCGAACAGTTTTCGTTCGCTGCCTGACAGCAACTCGCACCTTTTGAAAGCTAGGTACCTTCTCTTCAGTCAAAAGTGTATGTTAAGTTAGGGGGAAGCCAAGCCACGAGGACAAAGATGTTGATATCGACAAGCAAGAGGTATAATGTCTGCTGACCAGGAGTAGATGCTAAGCATATCTGCTATGTTCAGATCAGAGAGTGCCAACAAGCCCTATCATGCATAGAGGAGGTGTGACTTTGTAGGAAAGCGGAAGACCACCCGCCCTGAGCATCTATACTACGGAGCTATTGGCTACAAATGAGCTCCAGGGTAGCATATTGAATAGGTTTGTTGGAGACTTGGAAAAAGTCGGAACAGACATTTTGGCCGGTGGAGTCTCGACATAAGACAGAGGCCAGTGGGGATACAGCCACTTGTGGCAAGTTGCAATACTTAATTTTCACTAAGTCCGCATGTCGGCAGCATAACTTGGCAACCACCTCTTTAAGCGCCGTTAGAATCGCCCTTCCCCCGTCGTGTTGGCCCGGGTCCTGCCTGAGGCTACTTGAGCGAGCCGCCTCTGGAAGTATAGTTAAACTATCTTTCTAACCATCTCAGCTAAGGTAAAAGATCTAGTCCAAGTTTTATCAGGATTATCAGCTCAATAGGCTTTGACGGAGTGCCTGTCCGGCCTCCTATTGGCTGGGAGCCTCACCGCCTTCGGCCACCGAGTGTAGTTGGTCTTCAGATAGCCTCGAATCTCAGATTCTTCACGCTTCCCATCAGGCTTTTGATACAGGTTGAAAGTATGAATGATAATGCATAGGGTGTTAAAGCACAATTTCGAGGTCTCGTTGTAACGATGTTCTGTTGGGCGAAATCTGCGCTATACCGATATTGTTTCCTTCTCCTCTTCGGATTGGTCATATGAATCTTTATACACTCATGGTAGGATCGCCAACAGACATAAGTCCCTCCGTAGATAGCTTCTGCTATAGAGTGATTTTATACATTATCGAAATAGTTGCGCATCCAAATGATTCGATTAACATAGGTAAAAATCCAATATGTATAGATAATCTGATGAGGTTTCACATATCAATAGGAGATATACTTCAATCACAAAGTGACAAAAACATACAACAGAAGGGATTCGCTGGTGGTCACCCACCCAACTACTAACCTCCCGGCGTGTGGCTTAAGTACGGCTGAGCGGACGGGAAGCCCTGTTTTCCACACCCTGTGGTCGTATGTGCTTAATAAGTCGAAAGAAAGGATAACGTAGACTGCTGCGATATGCAAATAGGCAAAAGCCATAAGACATTCAAGCTGCGTTGCAAAAAACCTGCAGTGTTCCTGCGGCGGGGGCAAAGCATGCCAAGCTGCCAAGTCTCAACCCTTTATCGGATTCATTTCCGCCTGGCCTACAGTCAAGTCTTTAACAATTTGCAAATTCTTCTCTGATTCATCTCCCTTGAAATTTGACAGACACTGCAGAACACCCTTCCCAACACTGCAATGACAAGCGATATCGAGCTTGAGCGGCTACGAGGCTCTCTCGTCAGCCCGCCCAGCACATCGGCCTGGAGTCAACAGATCCACCGGCGCATCCGGCGGGCACACAACTATCACACGGAACAGAACCTGCACATCAACCGTCTGATCCAGGTAGCCGAAGACCCAACGGCCGCGCGGCTGCTGGATGATGAGCCGGATACATCGTCTCTGCACGTCAAGGCAGCCATTAACACCTCCATCTACGGTACCATCCTCGTCGCCGCGCTGCAGATCTACGCTGCAGCGACGACCCGGTCCCTGTCCCTCTTCGTGACTATGGCGGAGAGCTGCTGCGAGGCCGTCAGCAACATTGGTCTCGACTACCTGCACCGGAAGGCGCGGAAGCTCAACCACTCGACGCAGTGGCCCGCCGGCGCGGGCCGGCTCTGCAACGCCGGCAACATCTGCTTTGCCTTTGCGCTGATGGCCGTCTCGCTCGTCCTGGTCGTCGAGTCGATCAGGTCACTGGCGGGTAGCGACCACGAGCTGGGCAAGTTCGACGTGGCCGCGGTCATCGCGGCGGCGTGCGGATTCGGCATCAAGCTGTTCCTCGCCGTCTACTGCTTCATCTTCCGCAAGCACAGCAGTCAGCTGCAAATGCTGTGGGAGGACAACCGCAACGACTGCTTCGAATACGGATTCGCCATCTTCACGTCGGCCGCGGGCGCGAAGCTGAAGTGGTGGGTCGATCTGGCCGGGGCCCTGCTCATAGGCCTGGTTATCATCGTCACCTGGATTGGCACCGTCCGGGGCGAGTTTCTGGAGCTGTGCGGCCTCGGCGCTTCGCCGAACTTGGTACAGGAGGTCGTCTTCTTGACGTTGCGTCATTCCGATTTGATTCTCCAGGTAGACTCGGTCCATGCATATCACTGGGGCGAGGAGTTGTTCGTCGAGGTGGACATCGTTATGGCACCTGAGCTCAGTTTGCGCGAGGTCCATGATGTCGCGCAAGAGCTGCAGGATAAGCTCGAGTCAGTCGAGGGTTTCGCTCGAGCGTTTGTTCATGTTGACTACGGTAAGCATTTTATCTGGTGGTTGTCGGAAGTGTGTTGTGACTGACGTATAACTGGGATTTCAGAAACGTCGCATATGCCCGAGCATCGCAAAACTCGCTGATGGAAAGGACGTATGATTGCGGGAGAAGCTTACAGTCCCCAATTTGACAAGACTAAGTGTACAGTATTAGACTGCACGGGGGCTATCTACTTTGTATACATGGATGACTTCACACTCTAAGTCGGGATCTCTGAGTAAGAGATCGACTAGTAAGCTGCGCATAAGGAAAGCAAATTAGAACAGAACTTGCTTAATCTCCATAGCGCAAGTACGGTAATCTGTAATATTCGCCTATTTTTGGCTCATACTGAGGCTATAGGAGGTCCAATGGCGACGTTCCCCAATCTCAAGCTAGAAGGCACACTACTCAAATCGTTAACAATGGCACAATCATCCTGGTATGAACGCGCAGAATCTCAATATAACCTCGAGCCAGTTGACAGCAGTCATAAAGATAGGTCCACCCGGGCCACAGTCTCGTTTTGTGCATTTTCAGTATTCAGAAACCGTCAGTTTGTATCATATCTGCTAGGAACGTGGATAAGTGATAAGTCAAACAATGCCGGAAGCTGACAGGTGCAAACTACTTTTGATCTGAATTTCAAGGCGACTGGTGAAACCAAGTCCCATTGGCAGAGAGGCTGAAGAGATACCTAAACTCGTTTTTCCCGAGATTCTTGGGCTGCATGAGAAGATGCTACCCATTATCAGTAGCAGCTAGAATATCAGCCCCTTTCTCATTAGGACCAGCTCCGCCTTTTAGCACGAAGCCTGCACTATTTTTTCTTCCGATCTCTCCTACTATGCTCACCTTGTACGTAAAGCTTGTAACCCCTCCGCAACGCCGACCATCAGTCCAAACCAAACATCCAAGTAGAGTAACATCAATTGTGGAACTGCAGCTGTCGCGGACGTTGCCCCTTTCTTCCAGGGGTCATTGGGAAAGTGTGATGACTGCAATGTTCACGCCTGCACAACAGGTATTGTACAACGTTCGAATATCAAGCCCTAACTGCACACACTAAGGTCACGTTCTATATTGACTGCTTTATTATTATCAAACAATATCTCAAAGCTATATACCACAATCCCAAAGTCAAATTTACCCCACCTTTCAAGCTAAGTGTACAGTATTTACAGATCAAACCAGCACGAAGGCAACCACTCCCACAATGGCAACAACAGATCCTACACCCGCACGAAGCGACGCACCCATACTATAAGCAGTCGATGACGAAGTCGCGTTGGCCGGCCCAACGGCGCTCAGAGACGCTGTCGGCTGATACGCCGCCGGAGTCTCGTCATCCACGGTCCCATTCCAACAATAACGTTGGAAACACTTCGTACAGGCCTCCGGGACGGCAGTGCCGGTGCGATTCAACGAGCGGCTGAGAACCGCACAGCCCACGCAGGTCGACCAGTCCGCATCCAGCGTGCCATTCGCCTGCGTGGCAACATTGTACCCATTGGTGATGATCGCATCACGCTGGCTATTGTTGAATTGACCCTCCTCGAGCGAGAAGTTCGAGCTATAGGTAATCGGGTGGTTGGGCAGGTAAACCACCAAGGGTGTTGGCGTAGTCAGACGAGAGGCGTTGCAACCGAAGAAAGTCGGACGAGCGTTCAGGCCCAGGTTGAGGAATGTATCGAGGTCCGGGATCTCCGGGAACGAGGTGTCGTTGGCGACGTTGAGGAGGGTGCGGTTATAGGTTGCAATCAGTGATGAGCCGGTCGGCCAGTTGTCGTAGGAGGAGGAGCCGAGGGAGTCGACGGCGAATATCACGTCGACGTTGCGCTTTTGTTGGATGAGCGGGTACAGTGGGACATTCTGGCTGGTCTCGCCTCCGTCTTGTACGATCAGATTGGTGGTTTGTGCGTATGGGGAGGTGGCTGTGTTGTATTGGTAGAAGGGGTTCGGGTCGTAGGCTGCCGGTCCGTCAATGCTGGAGTTGGTCGAGCTGGCGGCGTTGTCGAAGTCCTCGACGGCGCTCTTCAAAAACGCCGTCATGGTGGAGTTCGGCGCGGCGGCTTCGTACTGCTCTAGGATAGCCTCCAGATAGAAAAGAATGTCCTCTCCGTTCTCGTTCCAGATATCGCTTGACGAGCCGGTGATGAAACCCGCATTGTCGAACCCCCGGACGCAGGTTTCATTGTCTGGCACCACACCATTGACAAATCGAGTACCAAGATACTCCAGGGGCGCGAAGCCGTAGATGTCGTCATCGTAAGTTCCCCACTCCCAAGGGGTAGTTTCATAGATTGGATATGTTGCTGGGGAGTGTGACAAAGTCTCGGTGCTTTTCTGGTTGCCAGTCATAACTACCAGAGGCATCGGGATATCACCACTCTGGAAGGATTCCGTCTTTGCAATCGAGGACCAGGTGTAGTCAACGCCCCCATCGCTAGCATTGAAGAAGTTGTATCCCTGGATACGGCCCCTATAAGCATATGTCAATGACCGTTCCTTGGCTCAGAGGGGCAAGCAAGCTGACCAGAAATCCGCGTCGCCGGTCTTAAACCCAGCCTCCCGTTTGCTCTTAACGTCAGCCGAAATATTTCCCCAGAACTCGACATGCGAGATCTTAGCAGGACCATATATAATCTCCTCGGAGTTAAAGTCCCACAGGTTGTCTTGTAGATTAGAGACCGTCGTAAAGTTATTGACGTAGATAGAACCGAGAGCCCAAGATCCACCGCTGAGGGCAGCAAAATAGGTGGCTGACTGCAGCAGACCACCGAGTTGACCTTTGGCCGTTGATCCTTCAGTGCGTTCATCGAAGGCCTTGATAACACCTCCTCCATTGAGACACGCGACAAGACCACCACCTGAAATTCCGATTGCGACATTGGGTAAGTCGCTGCCAGTGTGGTTTGCAATGTAGCTGACAGCATCGAAGTCTTCGATCTCGATATGCCCAAAGAAGTCTTTCAGGGCGGACTCGGTCTTCTGACGGCGAGTTTGGAGCCATGCTGTCTCATTGGACGAAAGTGCGGAAGCAGGCCGAATTGTAGGTCGGCTCGATGGACAGGTAACATGGACCGGGGCATAGCCGTTCGGTGCATCTGGGAGGGCACGAGGCTTGACATTCACATTCCGTGAAGCGAGGTCTTTTTTGATAGATACGGCGCCAGCATTGGTAACTGAGATCAAACGTTATGAGCTTTGGGTATACATCAAGTACAAACCGACGACAGTTTGCGGCCTCCACTTCCTCTCAGCAACTTACATTCTATGATGCTCAGGGACATCAAGCCCAAAAAAATAGACGTCTTCATGGCACCCACTGAGTTAATCAACAAGAGTCACAACAATCTACCTTGAAAGAGAAAGCTGTTCATGTGCTTGAACCTCGACCTGGATCTTGGGAAAGGTCGAGCTATTTATCCTCACGACCCAGCTTGAAGACCAGGTCAAAGCTAAGTAGATGATCAGACCGCGTAGAAAGGATAGCGGAACATAGCGTGTGGGAGTGGAGTCTGAGGCTGACATGGCGCAAGTAGCCCCCAAAAAAAGTAGAAGATTCCATCTCCCATTGGTGACCGCGTCCATCTCTATGTGGTATATAACTCGGGATCGTCGGGCTGAGGTGGATCTCCTGAGGGCCCAAAGCGGCATTCGCGTACTTAGCGTTGGCGCGCTAGACTAGATTTAGGAAGCAGTTCGGCACCATACCTCATCAATCCCACATGGCGGAGCTTACAGCGAACAAGCCTCACAATTGCCCCAATCGTCAAGAACAGACTCAATCACTGTGACTAACTCATACAAGTAATATGACCCCGGGATTTAAGTAAGACGTTGACACTGCCACGTCATCAGGTACACGTGCAGTCCAAAAAGGTACCTGGTTGACAACTTCGCCACCATCGGCTAAGGATATGCATGAAGCATACATGATAGGCGTGGGACACGGACCCAAACTACGTAGCTGAGCTCCCGTGCGGGGAAGCTACTTGTCTTTCCCCAGAACTGATCTTGATGATATAGCTGTGGACGGTACCTGCATGAGAAAGGCTGAGTGCGACCTTTTACCTGAATCACAAACCTGTTCACATGAACGCTGTATTACCCTGTACCATAATCCTGACCCCATGCAACCTCCGACAAAATCAAAACCTAGTAACCAATTCTTTTGGATTGCTTTTTGGAGTTGTTCCCTCATATGGAAATGTCTAGAACTGTCAATGAGACTTGGCATGCCACGCATGCGGCGGGTTGGCAATTTAGGTCTAGAAGAGGATCCACCAAGCAGGCCCGGGGCCCCGCACATCTCATCAGCTCCGCGTGAATCACTCGTTGATATAAAGCCCGGGGAGGAGATAATAGTCCGATAGCGATGGGTAGTGAACGAGGAATATCGCTTCAGAAGACATTGGAAAATCACTGAAAGTGTTCCCGGTAGTGACAAGACGGAGATCCGTCGGGGCATGAGATCCATCGGCAGTCGGCAAATCCGCCCGGGTGCGAACCACAAAAGAAATAACGCCATTTTGCTCCCCGCACACGCACTACAACTAACACAGGAACTGTACTGTATAAATAGTCTCACTCCCCTCTATCAGTCCTCAAATCACTCCCAGCTTGACAGATCAACCCCAAGAATAAAGATGCCAGCCGACACCCGCCTCCCAACCTATTTCATCGGCCATGGTACCTTCACCTACAATCGAACCCCTTCAGCATCCACTAACCAAGGGGGAGAAAAAACCTAGGCGGCGTCTCAATCCTCTTCAAGCCCGGCTACGGCCCCGTCCAAGACGAACTCCGCCAAATCGGCCGGGAGATCCACGGCCTCCGTCCCGAAGCCATCGTCGTAATCAGCGGACACCACCAGAGCGAGAAACCCGGGGTGGTAGAAGTCAACCTCAAAGAACCCACGAAGGTCTGGCACGACCTCGGCCCCAGCTGGAAAAATACTTATCCGCACGTCTTCGAGTACGAGTACCCGCACCAATCATCGCGCGCGTTAGGTGAGCAGGTCTTGCAGCACCTGCAGGATCATGGGATTCGTGCCGAGGGGGTGGAGCGGGACTTGGACCATGGGGTGTATGTTTTCGCTCTCACTTTTCTTCGACTGGTCTTTGCTGTTTGAGAATTAGTATAGGATGCAAGGTCATGATCATGAATGGCTAACTCAATCCTTGAGAATAGTTGGGTCCCCTTCAAACTCATGTTCCCCGAAGGCAGTCCAGAGGAGTTGATCGGCGTGCCCATTCTGCAACTCTCTTCGTTCGCAGGGGATGATTACGCGGCGCATGTAGAGTTAGGACGGGCATTGGCGAGACTGTGAGTGTGACATCTCTTCACTCGACCCTCCCTGTGGAACTGTATCAGGCGGGAATGAGAACAGAGAAGAGAAAACCTAACAATACCGAGTAACAGCCCCGGTCGCAACCTTATCGTCGGCTCCGGGATGCTATGTCACAACCTTAGAGCCACCCGCGAGAGCACCGACCTGACAGTCGTCAAGGCCATCGAAACAGCGGCGCTGCAGATTCTGGAGACAACACCCCAAACGACACAAGGCTTGACAGAGGCATTCACGCAGTTGCCGCAGCGGCCGGATTGGCCGCTCGCCCATCCGACGGTGGAGCATGTCTTGCCGTTATATGTGACATTGGGGGCGGCAGAGGAGATTGAGTCTGTACAAGGGAAGGAGGGGCTCGAGGATGGGGAGGTAGAAACGTGGAATCGGAATCAGTATATTGTCGGTCAGTCGTATTTGTCGTTCCGGCTGGGGCGGGCTTCGACTTAGAGAGCTTTGGTCGGCAGGACGGTGATCATGGAAGTCGCGAGCGATATAGCTGTACACTTGTACATATGCCTGTAGTGAGTAGAGCAAACGACCACATAACTCAGTGAGCACTGATGCGAAATGATGCGTCGAGTCAGAAATAACATACTTGCGGTCTAGTGACGCGGAAAAACTGCCTTTCGAAATAAGAGGGGCCCGGCTCGATGGAAATAAGGGCAATCAGTCCCAACTGCGGATGTATGGAAGAACAAATACCCATTGAGTGGGATTTGCAAGTGCTTGGCCACGTTATAATTCTTTCATTCTCTTTCATAAATTACCTAGTTACAGCAACGCGTATCTTTCCCCTAGAGGGCCAAAACAAAGGCGGCCAGCCAGCCACTGCACAGCGGCTGTGGATTAGTACCCTGCATCGCTTCCAGAATACTCTTGCGAGAAACACGTGGGATCGGTGATGACATAGTATGTATAATGTATGTATTGAATGCTTTAGGATGACTTAGTTTGTTTAATTAGACGAGAAGGCTGTGTTTTAATTAAGCCATCCCAGGTATATAGCTGGGGACAAGGGTTGAGACTGCAAGGCTAATGTCTGCTGAGTTGTCTGTATGTAACTATGCTAATAAACTTTAATTCTCGACAACCAAGATTCATCTGTTCCTTGTCGAGTGACCCAATCCAAAAGAAAATATATGCAGCAGAAGTTCCTTCTGGTTGAAAGCAATTTGAGCCTTCCTACTTTACTCATACACGTCACCGACACGCGATTCTTCGAGTGCTACAAGATTGTAACTCACGGTATGCTTCATCTTCATGGGAAACATGCTGTCACATGTGTGCAATTCTCCGACCGCTGAAACAGAAGAATACGAATGATACCGGTCTTTCTTAACACACGTCAATTCAACGCACGTCGAATCTTTTAAGACAACAGCACTACATTCAGCAAATCTAAAGTCTAAAAGGGAGGTGGAAGGGAAAGACTACTCAAATTACTACCAATTTGCCACTTCTCTCAACCAGAAGAGTCTTTTGTTTGAAATCAACAGTTCGGCTCTAGTCCAAAGCCTCGCAGTCCGTCTCGAGGAGATCTGCAGTAAGAGCAATTTGGTGGCAAATCGGGATACTTCTGTGAGTCCTACTATATCAGCAAGCTTCCACAGACCGAATGCCTCGAGAGAAGAGACTCGGCAGATTCGGTTGTAGGTCATGAAGATTAGTACGCTAAGGTTAGGCGGAGACTATTCATTCAATAATGCTGTCTGTAGATTGTTGGTACTATGACTAGACCATCAGATGATGCTGACCTTAATCATATCGAAGTCAACTCGGCTCGCAATCTTCTCAAGACTCGGTTGGATAGACTGTGAATCAGTTTGAATTCACAGGATGAGACAACCAACTCACTTCGTTTGGCTGAAACAGCCACAGCGAAATCAGCTGACCGACTTGGCTGGAGACCTGAGGCGGTGGGCTCACTCAGCTAATCTACTTATTGTCAGGGATGCGACTCAGTTGACGTCTTCGAAGCCATGTTGGTGTGCAGGCATCATAGCCATTATCATTTTCAACCCAGCCTTGCCAGCGCAGCGGATGACGGATCGTGCTTGGCAAAGTGGGTACTTTGTCTTACGCTATTGAAGTTGCCGACTGGCTACATCGTTGATCCCTGATCCGGTTTCAGTGATTCCCGATGTAGATCCGGCGGGCCAAGCCGCCCAGCATTCGGATGGCTGTTCGGCGGATTCTGAGCGCCATAAACCCAGATGCAAGGCTACCTCAAGGGCAGCTTTGCACAGCCCGTCATGCCGTGCCCCAGGCTTGGCAAACGTCTGCTTACGATACGAAATGTATATAAGTGCTCAGTACGACACAGGCTTCTGTGAGGTCCTAACTCTGGCTCTAATTCGGGATTAGCTTGCACAATGCGGCATTCATCACAATCCATCATTTTGTTCTCATCTTTGGCACTCGTTGCCTCTGCTGACCGCCTAGGTCCCATATACCCAGCACCGGTTGACCTTTCCAGCTCCCATAGCCATGTTAGGGCTGCCTGGGAGAATCTCACCACTACCATTGATGACTATTTGAAACACCCTTCCAAGAATGGATCGACTACCCTTTCAGGGATTGGGAACATCACATTTTCAGCTGGGTTGTTCTCAGTTCATGATCCGGAAGCGAAGAAACTCCAATATCATTGGACCAGTCCTGAAATCGCAGAATCCACTAATGGAACCAGGAAAGTGGATGGAGATAGCATTTTCCGCATCGCCAGCGTCAGCAAGCTTTTCACCACTTATGCCGGCATGCTCTCTCTAGCTGAGGATCAGTGGAATCTTCCCCTCTCCGAAATCTATCCCGGCTTCGTCAAATATGCGGCAGAAGCCGTCGACGCCCCAGCTTGGCACATCAATTGGGATGAGATCACGCCGTGGGCATTGGCCTCCCAGAGCTCGGGCATTCCTACGCAAGGAGGCCCGCTCATGGATTTACTGTGGGAATATGTAACGGGGCAGAGCATCGTAAGCCCGATCACAGCCTACGGACTTCCGCCAGGAAATACGAGCAGCCTGGGACCATGCTATGGCTCTTTTGAAGAGGCACTCGAGTTGTGTGACGGCACGAATGTCATCGATGCTATGGAATCACGGCCACCGACGTTCAAGCCTTGGTGGACTCCTATGTACTCCGACGCAAACTTTGAGATGCTGGCGCTCATGATCTCCAATATCACTGGGAAGTCGATATCAGACATCTATCAGACAGGAATATTTGAGTCGCTCAACCTGAGCTCAACCTTCTCATCTCCGCCGACGAGCAATGTGACCCAGGCCCGGGCTGTTGTCGCGGGTCCCGCAGCAGCGGGATTCTACCTGGACATCCCTTTTACTACCCCGTCCGGAGGGATCTACTCCTCAACCAACGACCTCGCCACATTCGGTGTTTCGATCCTCAACCACACGCTACTCCCAGAAACTACTACGCGCAAATGGATGAAACCTCAAACGCACACAGCAAGTCTGACCGCCTCCATTGGCGCCCCATGGGAGATCGTTCGTGTTGTGAGTCCCACCACGGGTAGGGTGACAGACATCTATACCAAGCTGGGAGACTCGGGCTACTATGGCGGCATTGTCGCTCTGATCCCAGATTATGACGCCGGTTTCAGCATCCTCGCAGCCTCTACGAGTGATCAACGTAGTGCTCTGACCAACGTGATCCTGGACTATATTACTCTGTCTGTGCTTCCAGCTCTGGAGGCTCAGGCCGCTCTCGAGGCAGCTCAGAATCTTGTAGGCACATACGTCTCAGAGGATCCCAGTCTCAATTCCTCCGTCACTATCGCGATCGACGATTCTGTCGGTTCTTCGAGTTACTTCCATGGTCTGAGACTTACTCGGTGGATATCAAACGACACCGACCTGCTGGCCTCGCCCTATCTGAGCGGTTACAAGCCTCGGCTTCTGCTGAGCATCCCGAAGTCCACCCCTCGTGGGGTGGCCGGAGAGGTGGCCTTTCAAGTTTCCAGATTCCCGCAGACTTACAGCTATTTCGCTTCCAATGCGGCAGATCTCGGCGTGATCGGTCCATTTACGGGTCAATATAACACCAACCTGGACTTTTGGAGTACTGACACTATTTACTATGGAACTCGTGGCCTGGGCACGTTTGTTTTCACCGTCGACGGTGACGGGAAAGCTTCGGCTGTCTCTCCTACGGCTGCGAACATTAACTTAAAGAGAAAGACGTAATGCGTTTCTCAGGATCTGTTATTGTTATAGTGTCTACTCCGTGTCTGTTTTTCTTTGTGTCTATCACTTTCCACTTTTCGATTATTGGTGTCAGGTTATAGTTCTCAGGTAACAGGCAATCTCTTTCCCAACAAATCTTGGGCTTACTACTGAATGAAATGGCTTCATAAATTTTGACGAACTAGTGCTCTAATATGCAGGGTCTTCAGGAAGGGGCCGTTTGGAGCCCACATCTTCGGCGCGTTACAGGCCAGAAGGATCTGCCTTGTAAGTTTTTCAAACGTCATATGAGCCGAGCACCGTCATAAAATAAAGATTAGCCTTTACATGACGTGTAAGTCGCATGCAAGCCACCCAATCAGGCAAGATCTTCGTCACTCCTATACCCTTTCGATCGACCCCGCAAATGCCAACTCTCCATTCCTAGCACCTTGAACTTTGTAGTTGCGGTCCCTTGTGTATAATTATCTCATTGTCCGGAAACACGAGACTGAATCTTCGGAGTCGGCCAAGCCATTACAACTTGCCTCCTTGCTCACGGTCCATATTGACCTTCTCGTGCTCGCCTATGGCACAGAGCTTCCCAGATCCAACGTCGTAGATTTCAGCCCTTGTTAACGCCATACGTCTGCCCAAGTGAACTATGCGACAGACTGTCCGGATCTCAGCGCCCAGCGGGAGAGGATGCAGGTAGGTCATGCGCATATTGCGGCTAACGCCCGAATCTGAGAATCGGTCCGGCGTGGAGGCAGCCACAATCAGCAAGCTCGTGAGATTTTCGACAAGAGTAGTGGTACACCCGCCATGGAGATGCATTTGAGGGCCGCACATCGCCTGGGTCGCCACGAATCGGTAGGTCACAGAGGCATCCGGGCGTTCGGCTACAGATTCGATTCGGAGACGGCAATCCTCCGCAGTAACATCCCAGAACTCATTCGCGAGGAGAGTTAGAAGGGTTCCTCCTTGATTGTTACCATGGGGTGAAGCGATATACCTTCTTCAACTTCTGGTGTCCAATGAACTTGAAACACCAAAAGACCTTGTTCTCAAAGCTATGAATCACCTCTTCGGGCGCATTCATTATTGTAAGGTCCTTGGGCATGCTGGGCTGATCTCTAGGGCAGTGATAGAACAATGCGGGGGTGTAAGACAGAATTTGTGGAGGCTTGCTCGGTCATCCCGGAAAGCGCAGGATATTCACCCTTTATATGGTGAACCAGCGGCTCGGGATGGGAGCATTCCAGATGCATCATGATTCATTTTGATCCACTCATTCGTCGGAATGTCGGTCAAGGAGGCATGATAATGACAAGAAACTAGAAAGTCATGCTTTGCCTTTTCCAACATTGACCCCATCGCAAGACGAGCACTTTATGCACAATTTGCACAATTTGCATCACACTGCATCATACTGCATTCCTGAGCAAACTGATGCTGGGAAAAAGCTCCATTCTCATGTAGATGCAGATTTGTATGTTACTTTGCGGCTTACCAGGGCGATGCAGGACTGAACAACTATTCTCCTTTAGCAGTGAAGCATGATTGGATACCAATTGAGAGAGACTCAGGTAGGCTACGCAAGGGCTTGATTTTTCCAATTTTATCAAACTTGAGATGATGTGCTTTGACTCAATCGAAGAATACTTGACTAACCTATATGATCTTCATACACATCGATTATTCACCGGCAAGCGCCTCCATGTCAACTCAGGAATGATCTTCCTCCCTTCAGGGGTGATCGTCGGTTCCTCCGGGGTGAGCCTCAATATATCGCAACCATTATCCGTCTCAAGATGTACAAGCCGTCTTTCCAGTTGCCCAATCATGTTCGGGTAGATACAGTGTGTAAATCGATGCTGAACGGCTGGTTTCTCGCTATCGTCATCCACGTAGAATTGACCGGAGTATGCGAAATACCGTCGGGCCGCCTGGGAATGCTCCTCGGGCGTGGCAGTCCAATAGTCAACCGACTTGAACTCAGCTTGGCCGGGAATTCGCAGCTGCGCGGAGACATAACCCGCCTCGCTGTAGATCAAGTGGCCCGATATCTCTCTGCCGATCTCTCTGCCTAAAGGATGATCTTTTTGCTGGGAGCCTGGCCGGGAACTGGACACCGATGTGCACTCCACCAGGTCCCAAGCTCCCAACAATCGATCCCGAAGTCGACTGTGACCCGCCTGCTTCTCGTCTTCTTCCCGTGACGGGGGCCGCAACCTACCAGTGCCTGACTTCACATAGTTCTCTCGGAAGAATGTCAGTGCGTAAGACGGGAGGTACGTTCGTTCCTTGAGATAAATCTCCTCAATGTCGCACACTGTCTGCAAGCCCACAAAATCCATGAGCTCGCAGGGCCCATACTTGGCTTGCATGGCCTGCTTGAGCATCGCATCAATATCCGTCGGGCTTCCCGCGCCATCCGCAAGCACCATCATGATCTCACGCTTGACCGCCGCCCAGATACGGTTCATGATGAACCCCGTCGAGTCGGCTCGGCAGACCACCGGACGACGCCCGATCTCGCGGAGCTCCTGCGTCAGAGATTCGATAACAGCAGGGCTTGTTTGTCCGCATGACATGAGTTCGACGAAAGGCCCCTGCGCTGGAGGAAAGTAATGAGCGTTCAGAATGCGACGTTGGCTCGCAGCTGTGATACCTTCGACCAGGACACTGCTGCGAATCGAGGATGAATTTGTCGTGATGATTATGTTCGAAGCGCACAAAGAGCTCAAGGTGTTCAGCAATTGCTTCTTGGCATCGATGTCCTCGGCAATGCACTCGGTTACCATCCACGCATTCTCGGCGGCGTCTTTTAGGTCTCGGGTGATCTTCACATGATTGGGCTGGTTCGCTTTTTGATCGAGCTGTGACTCAATCCAGTGCAGAGCATCCTGCGCAACGTCTTCGTTTTTATCGTACAAAGTCACTCTGCGGTTGTGTTGACCGTAGACTAGAGCAACCTGGCGGCCGATTGTGCCACAGCCGATAATGGCAACGTGCTTAGTATCGCTGTAAGCCATGGTAATTGTAATGTGCGGACGGATTGGCCTTGAGTAGTGAGGTTAAAAACGTCAAGAGCAGAAATTTGCAGTTGATTTCTATCCGTGTCAGGGTAGACAGGGACGGTCAGGGGCTTATATTCAGTACGTTTTCCGGCGCAAAGACGATTCGTCTAGGAAAGCACTGCCAATGTGATGGAATGCTGCGGCTCTCTTGGCAGACTACACAGGTAATACAACTTACAGTCAGTCTACCATGTATGCATGCTATTGGCACTTGAAAAGACTTGTTCTCTTCAAGATACTTACCTGGGTCGACTTTCATGTCCAAGGACGTGTGGGTGTGACGCCAATTTTGTGGCTCTGGTATCAAGCAGGAATGGAGTCTCTTCCCCCTTACATCTAGATGACTTAATCCAAGGGAGGAGAAAAATCGCCGAGCACGACAAGGACCGTCTGTCATACTTTTAGAAGAAGCTCATGACATCCTACTCTTCCCTTGAGGGCTTGATGCATGAGATAGTCGCAGCGAGGTTCCTAGCATTGTCTTAGATCGCGATGCGTCATCCAACCATTACTTACGTGAAAGGTCGAACAGGTGGTCAACACGGACACATCGAGGTTAGAAAACTATTACCAGTTGCAAGATATTTTAGGTTCCCTTCTACAATCTCTTACGAAAAGAATCTTCTTGTCCTATCGGTGTGCGTCAGATCGCAGTAGAAGCTCAATGGTGTTTTCCAGCTACCATTCTGCTCATATGTAGATCATGCGACAGGAGCAGGGTCATCATGAATATGACACATGGTAAAGATTCTTCCGGACATGATATAGTGAATAGGATGGCAGAACCACAATCTTTTCTCATACTGGAATTAGCTTATTTGTATTCATAAATGGCCTCGTGGTTTCAGGGCTCGAGCCGAAAATGCCCTAACATATACTCCATTGCTCTAAGCAAGCTCGAGATACTTCCGTGATAGTGGAAAACTGAGGTGATTGGTATTTTCTTTTCAAGAACTGACTCATGTCTCACACCAAAACTCAAGACTTTAGTCAACTCTGGGGCAAAGTCAGTCATCTGGTTTGTGCACTCGTAGCCGGATCTATCGCGCATCGCCTTTCAGTCACATGAGCCAGTTGAAAACAGGTCACTGCTGCCTGGGGCATCAAACGAACGCATGTAGCTTCATCGGTTCCAGGCTAAATCTTTTACAGTTTGCCGACACACCCGACCCTAGCCTGACCGGTCGATAACCGTAACTCTCTAGGATAGGGGCTGACTGTATCTCCATAGGCATAGACCTGCGTTAAATGAGAACGAGTAGGGACGAATCCCTCTGAATTGGTCAAAGTCGCTGCCTGGCCTTAAGTGTCTGTTCTGCGGACTGATCTACCATTATCTACACAACACTCAATTCTCATCTTCTCAGCCAACCTCGTCCTTCCTTTCCCTCTCTTGCTGTGATTGTCGGAAGTCGGTGTTATCTACAAGGTACAAATTACCCTGTGACATTGTGCCACACCATAAAGCCTGTACCTTTTTTACTGTGCTGGGAATTCTAGCGCTTCCGCTCAGCTCGGCTCAGACCGCTAGCCATTTGAGACTAAAACGGACAACCGAGCATGTACGATTCAGTGTCCGGATTACCCGTTCGACAGGTGTGAGACTCATGACCTTTTCCACCATCGCAACCTGACTCTAGTCGACTAACGAGACGTAGGTGGCGGTGATGGTGTCTACTCGGTTGGGGAAATACCGGGCGACCACCCGAGCATTTCTAGCAGGGAAAGCGCTTCGACTATGGCTGCAGCTTCGACTGCAGTAAGCACAATTCAGAGCAGAGCTACTGCTGATAATGTGGCTATGCCCTCGGAGTCATCTGGTCCTACCAGTTCCAGTTCTGCCTCTGTCGTACCTTGGACCAGCAGCACACCGCTGGCGATTGCTGTTCATGCCGATTCTACCTCCGGGGCGAGCCCTCGCTTCAAGCTGCTCTTTCTCCAGGATGCTTGAGAAGACGCAATTACACTGGGCGCGATTTGAATGTTATTTCTCAATCAATTTCTCCTATGATGTTGTAAGGAACGTAGACCGCGAGTGGGCAGTCCAGGGAGTTCTTCCCTTCAGTACTGATCCATGAGGAGACAAATGTTTTCGCTGAACGTAGTAATATCCTGAACATGTGTAGAGGACGAGGGGCAAATGATGTTAACGTTGCGTCTAAGAGGCGTGGATTTGTTTATTTGATCTAGTCTTAATTGTAGGGGAAAAGTCAGCCGCAATCAGCCAGCCAAAGCTGCCTCAGGCTTTGACGTTCGGGTAATTCCGACAGGCGGAACCCCCTATGGGAATAGCTTCATCCACAATCCTATTCTAGGAAATACTCTAACCCGGTTTCGAAAAGCCGAGATTACTCGACTCCGAAATCAGCCAATGGGAACCAAGCCTGTCACAGATCAGGGGTACCTTTCATCTGAGGCAAGACCCTAGTGTTCGTTCAATTGGCCCAATGGATAAGCGGCCCCCAAAGGCCGCAGCTAAAATGCAGCCAATTTGAATCTCACAGGGTCCTGCAATGACTGCCTTTTCCTGGGGCTGCACTTCCACCCTATTTATCTTAGTTTTCCCCGGTTTTGTCATTCTTCCCACTTTATTTTGTGTCTTCCAACCTACCATTGACAATAGCCCATATCTATAATGATCTCGACGTCTTCAAAAGCGCTGGGTGCTCTAGCACTCTTCCTTGTTTCGGCTCAAGCCCTTGAATGGGGTACATACGCCTGCATGAAGAGTTCTGGGGACATGACCAAGCTAGGCTCGTCGCCGTACCAATGTGCCGGCTTGTGTCAGAATTTGTGCGAGAAAGAGAAGGGTTATTTCTTTGCCTTGCAAGGCGAAGACTGCTGGTGTGGCAGTCAGCCCCCCGCCTTTGGTAGTATGGGTGGTTCGTGTGATACGGATTGTCCAGGCTATCCCTATGACAAGTGTATGTGTGAACCCATCACCGCGCTGATAGGACCGACTGACCGCCGACTGACACTTGTCGCTTAGGTGGTGGCGACGGCACTTACTCGGTCTGGGAGTTGGAGGAGGACTATTCAAATCCTAGTCTGGAGTCAAACACCGCGACGGTGACCTCAACTGCAGTGACTTCCTCTTCCGCTTCCTCCGCCTCCTTCTCATCTTCTTCCCTTTCGTCCGCCGATTCTGTGGTCGTGACATCAAGCTCGGCGACGGTGGCCTCCTCGTCTGCTGCCATCCCATCAGCTGCTACTACTACGCCAGTGGCTCAATCTGTTCATACCAATGCGGCCAGCCGCCCCTCCAGATTCTTGTTTTTTTAATCCTAACAGTGAGGGAAAGTGGTCGAATGCAAATGTGATTTTTGTTGAAATATGTACAATATTCTTTCGAACTGCATCCGCAGATCTCAAGATTCCATTACGTTCGTTCTATAGCCTCGCCCTCGACACCTTGCACAGCGGCAGAGGCTAGCTCAAGGTATCATGATAAGCCTAATGCTATATTTCGCACAGTGAAAACTCCTCGTGGATACATGTATCTGAGTGCATCTGAGTGATGCATTGTCGATTATCTGTGGACCTGTCTCAGGCCGGGGCTTGCAGTAGCTATAGACAAATCTGTTGTACGGTAGATCCAGTCTACATGGGCATCATCCCACCACTCCCGGAAACATATATCGCCAATACTTCCCTAAGCCTCGATGCAACCGGCCATTGCAGGAATAAGAGGAAATGAGATCTACGTGATCGCAAACACATCAATCCTGATATGAACATCTAGTCTAAGATATTATGTATAAGAGGTTAAATCTAACCCGTGGAATAATGCGTTGTACTAACTATTGCTTGTTGACAAGGGGCATTATGCTTTTTAGAATATAACTAGAGGTTAAGAAATAATTGGCACATACGGCCATAGGGTGTGGAAAACAGGGCTTCCCGTCCGCTCAGCCGTACTTAAGCCACACGCCGGGAGGTTAGTAGTTGGGTGGGTGACCACCAGCGAATCCCTTCTGTTGTATGTTTTTGCTTTTTGGCGTTCTTGACATTCTTCCAAAACCCACGTTCCATTGTTTATTCTTTCACCACTCACTCTCTATGGTCTGGGCAGCTGGATATCTCGGCCGAGAAACAGTGTCCTCTACAAACGGTGTCTCCTCCTCATATCGAATGGAATCACCGCAAATTCCCTTTGCCAACAGACTTTGATCCAATCTGCTACTACCGAAACCAGTCCAGTCCGCCTCACATAGGCTCTCTTTAATTCTCAATGTGCCGTCGCCCATGTGGTGACTCTGATTCAGGATGCTTTGCCCGCGGTCCGATTGGCCGGGCGATTTTTAAAGCCGTCCCGCCACAGTGGGCCTTGAGTCCCTGACCGAAGCTTGGAGTTGGAACAAGAGTCACTTGGCATTGCAACAGGTACCATAGACTCGGTAAGGTACCGTACTTGGCTTCCGAATACCCGTACGGCAACCCGACATCTGCTCCTCCCCTCTCCTTGGTAGAGAATCTGAAGTCCACTGGCTTTACAAGTCTCTACAGGTCTGATACTTCAATATTTAGACCACCTTGATTCTTATTTTCTTTTGAAATAGAGTATCAGTCAGGGTTACCATCTTCATCGTGCTGGTCGAAACCAGCGATTATCATGAAGTATCTCGGTTGATCCTCGGTCGATATCACATTGATGCACACTCAGCACAAGGATTCCTTATACAGAGTACATACGCCTTAGGGAGTGTTAGATACCCCTAGTAACGCCTGAGTACGTCAGGGGATACCGCCACGCTTCTGTTTGTCTCCTTTTCTTTCGATTTGTGGGATTCGGGGGACAGGTCTAGCGCACCCCGCGATGTCGAACGAATCTCCAGAAATCGATGATCTCCTTTACAGATCAGCTCTGGTACATGATTGTTCTAGCCCATGGAGGTCAGAACGGCCATCGTAGCGGCCCATGGGGTGTCTCTCAGTATAGGTAACTCCTGTGTACGCACCTATGCAGAGTGTTGTTAGGACTGAAGACTAGGTTGGGCAGGTGCTTTTGGTAGTTCTCTTTTCATGTTTCGATTTCCTTTCTCCTCTAATCATGTTGTATTTATTATGAACATCCTATATGCCATAAAAGTTATGTTCATATCACCCCAGTCACACGTACCGGCAGTTCCTCTCCGCGGCGTTGTTGTTGTCCTGTGGGCCCCTCCCTGGGGCTTACATAATTTTACGGTACGTTTGTGGCCCCATTACTCGCTCTGATAAAAGGCCGTCTCGCTCCTTTCGACGTAGCCATACCAGCTCTGCATTCTGGAAAGCCTGTTTGAGATTTTTCTCTTCTCTGCAACGTCCCCCGTCGGTGTCTCACAACCACTATCGGTGGTAGTCATCCCCTGCTGCCTAAAATCTCTTTCTTGCCTTTTCACCTGTTGGGGAGACCTAAACAGTTACCACAATGCACGACCACAGCACTGGATCTAGTCCATACATCTCAGACGTGGAAACCTTGAACCACGCCTGCGAGAAGTCCGTCAACCCTGAGGCCAAAGTCTCCCAACCTCAGGAATCTCCCATTATCAGCAATAATGAACATCAGGAGTTCGTCAAGCTGGGCATCCGCCAACGGCTGCGTCATTTCACCTGGGCCTGGTATACCCTAACCATGAGCGCGGGTGGACTGGCCCTTCTTCTCCGCAACCAGCCGTATCAATTCAAGGGGTTGAAGGAGATAGGCCTGGTGGTATACATAGCCAATCTCGTCTTCTTTACTATCATCGGATCTCTTATGATCACCAGGTTTGTTCTTTATAACAACCTGATGGACTCCCTCCGCCACGACCGAGAAGGTTTCTTCTTTCCAACCTTCTGGCTCTCCATCGCCACCATGATTAGTGGTCTATCTGCCTACTTCTCTACTGAAGACACGCACCGCCTCAATTATGCTCTCGAGGGCCTCTTCTGGGCGTACTGTATCTTCACATTTGCCTCGGCAGTGATCCAGTACTCCTTTGTCTTCTCCTATCACACGTTCCCTCTGCAAACTATGATGCCATCATGGATCTTACCGGCATTCCCTATCATGCTGAGCGGAACCATTGCCTCTGCCGCTTCCAGCTACCAGCCTGCGGTGTCTGCCACGCCTATGATTGTTGCCGGCATCACGTTCCAGGGACTCGGGTTCTGCATCAGCTTCATGATGTACGCCCACTACATCGGGCGTCTGATGGAGACGGGCATCCCTTCGAGCGAGCACCGTCCTGGTATGTTCATTTGTGTCGGTCCCCCTGCCTTCACGCTGCTGGCTATCATCGGCATGGCCAACGGCCTTCCCGAGGGCTTCAGTATCCTGGGCGATGGTGGCATGGACGACCGTCACATCATGCGAGTGCTGGCCGTTTGCGCGGGCATGTTCCTCTGGGCTCTGAGCATTTGGTTCTTCTGTGTCGCTCTGGGCTCAGTTGTGCGGGCGCCTCCCCATGATTTCCACCTCAACTGGTGGGCTATGGTCTTCCCTAACACCGGACTCACTCTCGCCACCATCACCCTGGCCAAGTCACTGGACAGTGCCGCGTTGAAATGGGTGGGCGTGGGCATGTCCCTCTGCGTGATCTGCATGTTCATCTTCGTCTTCGTGAGCACCGTTAGGGCTGTTCTCTTGAAGAGGATCATGTGGCCAGGGCGGGACGAGGATGTGTCCGAGTTGTTCGAATGACCTATCTCCCTCGTCGGCCATGATGCATGAAGTCCCAAAACTCTGTGTGTTCTCGGTTGTTATCATCTGAAGCGATTTATATATGCATATACATGTTGAGCGCCCGTGTTTTATGGTGTGTTTGTCCGCTATCGTCGTTTATTTCTTTGTCCTTCGAGTCTATCTTCTTCTATATTGTTCAAGTTTCTCAATCAGTATATAGCCGTAGTTGAACCAATATACAGTCATTCCATCAAGACTTGGCATTGATGATACTCGACCCCTATTCAAACCTATGCTGGCCGAATGTGGTGGGAGATGCCCAGCCTTAGGCAATTTCAACTCACCGGCTGTAACCCATGGACCATTGCCACTCCCAGGAGAGTCAGAGCAAAACTCTGCCCTGACTTACCCCCCCCCCCCCCTTCCTCCCAACCAAGCCTCACGCCTCACCGGTGGGCCCCTGTACTCGCCTCAGCATCATCAACAACATCATCACCATAAACATCATTAACATGGCGAATTCGATGCTCTTTTCGGTATAATTTCATCCCTGACAGACAAATGTGTGAAAATCCTGCCAAACAGCCCCCTTCTTGCCCCCCCTAGGGAGAATTCCCTTGTTATTATGAGCGAAATCCTCTTCCCAGTCTACACACAGGGCAAGTCAATTCTCGTGAGATCGGGCGAAACCGTAGCCCCCTTTCCGAGACCACCCTACTCGGCATGCCGTGATTTCCCGATATCGAACGAAAACGAACAGCTCTCTTCTTCATTCCGGCATGCAAAGCCTGGTTCTGAGTCCCGATCTTCGATGTCGGAGACTGACCGAACCTCAGCGGACCCACATACCGGGTCGGCGGGGCACCATTTCTCACCCAAGCCTCACCCGTCTGGGTTTTTTTTCTTCTCTTCGGGTGCCAGCACAGTATCTATGGTCAATGGTCACGTAAGTTTAGGGCAAAAGAAGAGTAAAAATGGAGAGGCTTACTCAGTACGTATTCAGTATTTTTTCCTGTCCGACCAGCTCGGTGGCACTTCGGGCTTGGTTTCATATTTCGGACATTTCCGCCGAAGCGATGCTGGGCATTGATGACAGGGATGACAGGACAATACGCTGGTGCTTGGTCGGTAAAGAGAGAGCTTTCTGGATGACGTAGAGTGTATTGTCAATATATGACGGTAAAATACGTGCCCTATCTTTCTCTTCCCTGCGAATGATCAGGTTATTATTAATAACGTAGTGAGAGAAGAGATATACATTTGCCTCTTAAGAGATGACTTAACCATACAGCATTAAGCATAAAATGAAGATTGTATGATTCTGGACTTAAGTTTGTGCCTGGTAAGTGGAAGATTTACTTCCTGTGCAACCCGTCTCGGGGCACAGCGCGACAGTCGAGAGCCATCCGACGTAATGACCAAGGCTATAATCCACAGCCCAAACTTCATTCACGGTAGGAGCTTAAGAGACTTATACAACCAATTTGGCCATGTCTCAGGTAATTGGGCCAGGCTTACTCGGATCTAGAGATGGTTTCTATATCGATTGGATCTAGCTCACGTGACTACAATAACAAGCATACACAGTGACATAATTGACGATGGCATGATTTTCTCTTCTGTCTCTATATCAGGCGTCGCTGTCAAGAAATACAGGGATCAAATCTGCGTTTTCGTAAGTCAGTAGCCCCATTAACAGGTGAAGATGGGGACACATCAGAAGTGGCCGTTGCAAACAGCCTACAGCTTTAAATGGTCCATAGCCATGAAAAGTCTGAAAGATGCGGATGGTTGGAGTCTACTACTGCATCCTATACTTACAATAGCTCAGCAACTTTAGGCACAGTGGGCTGGGTTCGACCTTTGATATCTCGACGGTCAATACTAGGTATGATCTATGAAGCTAGATTGTCTCCCTATCAAAACAAATGAGACAAATTAGTCATGAAGCGGCGGAGACTATACTTCAACTGTGCTGAACAATGCTTTTCAGTTGGAGTACGTAGGAAGAAGAATTTTTTCTTTCTTGTTTTGCCCTTCCCGAAACCTTAACCATGGAAAGAGAGCAGAATTGATGCACCCGTCCCAGCGAAGTCCCCACTTGTATACGGAGTCAGAAAGAATTCGAATTGTTCCATGGAACCACTCGATAATGCTATTCATGAGCTTTGCAGTCAGAGACTTTATCGAGCTAGCTCGGGAAGAGATAGGCTGATTAATGAGCCTAGTCAATCGCCTGAGACTTAAGGTTCGCCAACCGGTGGCCACAACACCAGAACACAGTGAATCGCGCCAGCAAGCACTCATGGCGGTAAGAATCATAACAGAGACATTATTGACGCCCTACTTTTACTATAACTTGATCTAAGACTCCATCCACCTGGGGTAGTGCTTATATAATCGACAAGCTATGGTCCAACTTGGAACCGTTAGGATGGACATGGGCATCGACTCATCACGAACATATTTGACAGCTTCGGGTTTTGACTCTTCGTATCCAAGCCACACCTTTCCTGGCGCTATGCGATCTTTAACCCGGAGGTGCCAGGACATCTGTGGCGACATGGATTGTGGTCACACTATGATGCAGATATGGATACGAACTCAGCCCACACCACCTGCATGCAATATGATACTCGGGTAGTATCGCCTACAGCTGTGCTCTTGTCCATTCGATGACCACGAAGCGTCACCTGCAGAGCCACAGCTCTACAAGGTTATAGCTATTCTTTTTAGCCCCACTAGCCCTCTCAGCTACCCTCACGTCAGGCGCCAGCTAAGAAGGCATCTCTAACATGAACCAACCGCGATTGCGACGCTAATATCATCAATGATATCAAATCTCAGACGTCTGGCGTTCGTCAACCTCGTGAAAATAGGGCTCGAATAAGCTTGTGGCCAATGTTGTCCTTCAGGGAGGGAATCGAACACGAACTCCAACGGTCGCTTGGTCCAGCTCAAGAGTGGACAGGCTGTGGTTCGCGATCAATGAACCAGAAGAGGCGCGACGTTGACCACAGACAGCGACGGCAATAAGGATATTAATGTCCTGCCAGCAGTGAGCCCTGTGGCAACCGCCGCATGGATCGATCCCAACATTCAAAAAAAACGTGAAGATTTCTTTGACATTTGTCTTTTCACAGATGGGCGATCGGACAGCTCTTTGGTGTTTGTATTCCGTTTTTCCTTTTCTTTCTTTTTTCCCTTGCTCGGGGTGATTCGGTGGTGTTGTTCTGTCTAGGTATCTCTATGATATCTAATGTGCTAACGCCTGAGGGCTTTCTCGCCATCTGAAGAAATTTGAATATCGCTTGTGAGAGTGTTCAATCAAACTTAACACTAAGATATATCAGCGTATGCCATGTGATCTGTCCTGATACACCGACCGAGTTGCCCCCCTCAGATGCCAAATCATTCCTAAAGCAACGTTAACAGAAAGCAAACAAGAACTCATTTCAGGCGCTTCTAAGCAATCTCAATCTGCAGAAAAAGTCATACACGCACAATATATATAGTGGATGTTGGGCACGATATCGAACACAGCACAAATGGGGAATAAGCTTACTCGCTACAGAGGCATGTAGGAGTTCAAGCTTTGAGGACCCATAGTTTATGAGGTAAGTTATGCACAACAAGTGACGTTAAGAGTCTAGACTCAATTAGCTGACAGAGTTTCAGTATGGTTAGAATCAAATAGATCGACTCAGAGAACCTATATTCTATGGTCGTGATAAGCCATGCATGAGATGCATGTCATCTTCGCGCCCTTCGGATGATCTGGTCTTGGCAGCGGGGATATTTCCGATGCTGGGGTATTTCCGATCTATCTCCTATTCCCGATCGCCGCAACCCAATCCAGATAAAAACTGCCACATCTGCACATTTCCCAAGAACCTCAATGCTAAGAACAGCTTTTGCTTCTCTGCGTTGTCCCCCTCCATTCACTACAGTACGAAACCTCACAATGGGTTCCAACGCCCCACGAACATTCCTTGCCTACCAGCATGACGCGAAACTACACACGATTGACACCGCCGTAACAGCCGTGCTGCCCTTCTCCGCCCTCGAGGAATCCAGCCGCCTCCTCTTCAAGCAAGGCAACGATGAAGACCACATTGTCATCACAGATCAAACCATCTTTCATCCTCAAGGAGGTGGCCAGCCCTCCGACGTCGGAACCATGAGCCACACGACGACCGCCACCAAATTCACCGTCACAGCCGTGCGGATGGGCCAAGCCCCCCGCGACGGCCAGGTCCTCCACCTCGGCCGGTTCGAGGCAGCCGCTGGCACGGACGCAATCTTCAAGGCCGGAGACTCGATCCAGCAGGCGATCGACGCCGAGAAGCGGCTTCTGTACTCGCGCCTGCACACCGCGGGCCACGTGCTCGGCTCTGCGGTGCGCCATCTCCTCGAGAACGAGGTTGCGGACTTCGACGAATTGAAGGCCTCGCATTTTCCCGATCTGGCGAACTGCGAGTTCCGGGGTCTGATCGACGGGAAGTGGAAGGAGCCCATCCAGGGCAAGGTGGATGAGTTTCTGGCGGCCAAGCTGCCGGTGCAGGTGGAGTGGTGGGATGAGGAGGACTTTCGGGCGCAGGGGCTGGAGAGGCTGATCCCCGATCGGGAGGCGCTGGGAGTTCCTGCTGGGGAGAAGTTTCGCGTTGTGCATATTGTCGGCGCGGAAGTCTATCCGTGTGGCGGGACGCATGTCGAGACGACGGATCTGTGTGGGCCGACGAAGGTGCGCAAGATTTCGAGGAGTAAGGGGATCTCGAAGATTAGCTATGCAGTGGAGTGAAATGCTTGCATTCTGTAGGAGGAGATAGATTTACATACACTGGACAATACATGCTTTGGCTGATCATAACGGTTCTAGTTGTTTGTGTCCAAGAGACGTAACGTTCGTTGGCCTACAATCGAAGCACGCCAATATCTCCGTTGTCCACTAAGTCTGTGACACAACCTCACAAGCAATTCTCAGGGCTTCAGACCAGCGACGAACAGGTCCCCAAGAGGCTTGATACTCTGCTCGAAGTCCTCCGGGGTCGTGGTCGTCCACGCCGCACTTCTCCCGGGTACAGCATTGGCCCCCGTGAAGCCAATATACAGAACATCTGCCTCGTTATGTCCATTGTTTGCGTCCATCGATGACCCAAAGCACAGCCTCGCCATCGCGAGCGATGCTTCCCCAGTCTTACTGCCTCCGTTCGTATCGCCCCAGATGCCGTAGTGCTAGCGTCATGCACTTAGGTTAGTCAAGTAATCCAGCCAGTGGTTTGTGGAAAGAGAATCTCGCAAAGGGGGGCACGGGTTTACCAATTGTCCACCGCAAACAACGGCCATCACGCTCAGCGGCTGCATGCCATACTGCTGCGGGTCAAAGTTCGTGTTTCCGAAGACGACATAGGGGTGGACAAATGCGCTCAGATCGCCGATATCGTACTGCCGGAATTGATCGTGGAAGGCGGTTTGGCTCTGCTTAGAAGGGTCGTTGCGACAGCCTCCCGAGGTCGGAGAGACCCCGTCGCAGTCCACGTCCATGTTTCCATATCCGCCGGCGGAGCTGATGAACAACGCCCCGGCGATGTCGCCGCAGTATTGGGTAGGTTTTGAGGCACTGGTGCCGTTGTTCAAGCCAGAGGCAACGACATTCTTACATCCTGTCCTGCGGTCGTGGTAGATTTGGTTGAGATTCTCGGGAATCTTGTATGCGTCGATGTCGATTGCAACAAGAGAGAATAGGATTGCGGGGGGGACCATGGTGGATTAGGGTCAGGGCTTGGGGTGGGGAAAGGAAAAGGGGGTGAGAGCGACAATCCTGATGGGATGGCATTTGGATAAGAAAGTGCAATCGACTTCCTGGCAGACATGATGATTCAATGGTTTGTACTGAGCTCGAAGGCCTTTGGTTGATATTATGATTGCACAAGGGTTCTAGACAGGTAATCAGTGGTAGATCAGTGGGTTCAGCAAGCCACCAAACCACGTCGTCGAGCAATTGAGTTGTAGCGGCCGGAGTCTATGGTATCTGGCACGGCAAAGATCAGTGGGTGTTGTTTCAGTCACATCTCGTTATATTTTCTTTTTTTTTTTTTTTTTTTTTTTGTTTTGCAGGTGCAAGAATTGGAGTTGTCAAGACAGCGCTATGCAAAGCTGATCTAGTAAATGAGCTAACTGAGGAACAAAAAGCTAAACAAAAAACATACAACAGAAGGGATTCGCTGGTGGTCACCCACCCAACTACTAACCTCCCGGCGTGTGGCTTAAGTACGGCTGAGCGGACGGGAAGCCCTGTTTTCCACACCCTGTGGTCGTATGTACTTATTTGAGTTGTTTGAAGGATTATATCGAGAGTGACTGAGACTTAGACCCCGGTGATCTTTGAAGTCATCAATCGTGCAAGATACACATAGCATCTAGATCTCAAGACGACCACTTGAACCAAACTCCATACTCTGGGTTTTACATAATGATGAATGTAGATGAGAAAAGAGTGATAAGGCCATGTGCAAGATTTGGATGAGATGAGTAAGAAAACTTCAAAGTCAGCAGTACTATCTGATCAAACCTGGCATAGGAGGCGTGAGGCCTATTTGTTTAGTGAGATTTGGCGCCGGAGAGGTGATAAAAATGGGTATCTGCCTGTGATCTCAGGCCGGGAATTGATGCTGACTACCTGCTCGGGTGTTTCGCATCTGGGTTTTTTTTTTTTAGCCACCGCCTACCCGTCTGGGTAGCGGGGCAGTGGAGACTCAAGAAAAATTGTGCAACACTGAAAAAACCCTATCAAAGAGAGATAAACTGGGCATTCGAGTACACAATGTGACAAAAAAGAGAAGCCCAACGCGGGGGTTGAACCCGCAACCTTGAGATTAAGAGTCTCACGCTCTGCCGATTGAGCTAGCCGGGCTACTTGTTATGGTAGTTTTAATACTATTAGTTTGTCAACCCATGCACAGGTGATAATCCTGTCCTCTTCTGTCTAGGCCAATGGGGCTCGAAGCACACTTTGCCCTTCACCCTTGTGACTAGCTATGCACATTTAGATCAATGAATGCGGTGGTAGAACATCAAGCAGATGCTTATGCATGTCTTTGAATGGTGGTTCAGGTATTTCTTGGGCTGATCATATGACTTGCTGGGTAGGCGCATTCGAAAATATATTTCCTTCCTTGTACATGTTTCCGCCTTCTATGAATCAACAACCTCATTGACCCGCACCACCCCTCTGCCACTACTACCACTGTCATTATCTGCTAAGAGACTTTGATTGGAGACTGTTGGATATGGCCAAGGACCAGTAGATATATAAGAATTCCAGAAAGCAATTCGTAGGAAGTCCATGTACGGTACAGTTTAGAGTTTCGAGCTACTTGGGGACTGTTCAACAGTAATTGAACACACATACCCTTTCTAGTAAAGGCAGACGGCATGTAGAAACTACCTAGCTGTCAGCCTCACTCACATGCTGTGGGTCTAGCGTTATCGACATTCTCAATGAGAGGTGTTACCATGATCGATCCTGGTAGAACTAACTCGGATGCGACCAAAAAAGGGTGCGACCTAAACACCGAGACTAATCGTTGCGCAACGTATCATCCAGGAGAGCTCAGTTTCCTTACTTCTCACAGCCGCAATACAGACCCCACCCTAAAATATGCCACCTAACTGGAAATATGAGACACATTAATGTTTATATCGTGCAACAGTTACCTAGTACACTCATACATATTGCACGCAAATCGCGCAGGATGAACCAATCAGATGCCTCTGTTGTTAGGGAGCCTTCAAGGCTCATGCATGCAGGCGAGCTTCAGTATCGCTGTGACCGAGCCAGTAAAACTCGTGGATGGAATACAGAGCCAAGAGAGGAATCAAGGCAAATTCAATTGTGAGTCATCTTTGATAGTATTCTCTACGCCTCTACCTTCAGCATTTGTTGGCAATGCACTATCAGGCATTCTGTCACTGTCAGGCCGTTGGTGATGGGCCCAGGTATTGATTAGATGACGACCTAGACAGGAGAGTTGCTTAATAGCGGCCAATCACCCCAATGATGGGGCAAAACAAATCGGCATCCCCGAGTCGTAGTTTAGAACCAGTGACCAAACGCAGGGCCAATAAAGATCGGTGGCGGTGTCCTCTCGTCGAGCCCGACTAGCCTGGCCAATATTGTGAAACTGGTCAGAATACCACCGGGACTATCTGTGAAGTCATTTGGCTTCTGAGGTGTGCCACCCTGTTACCTCTTCCCAGTCGTCGTATCGATTCCACGTCCCACCCCCAGCTCAACACACAGCGAGGAAAGGTCACCGTGAACATGGCTTGCTGTATGGTCCTGTATGCGGAAAACAAGGCGGCTCTTCCGGTGTGCCTGTCAGGGGCCGGCACCAAAGCAATCGCCGTAACACATCGCCATCTCATCGCTGCAGATCCAAATACCCACGAGACTTTCGGAAGTAGTTAACCTCATTTATCTGGCAGCTCTTCGAAACCAGAGCACCTCAACCTCACATTTGTCTGGCTACCATCGTGACCGATACCCAGGGTTTGCCTGGTGGGTGGACTGGCATAGTTCCTTCGTACTCGTATACCCAGGAAGATGATCCCAGGACACTCGGCATGGCAGCATCTTCTCAACCTGCGAGACCGGCAACCAATCCATTGCTTGGCACAAGTTCTCCTCCACAGCACCCAGATTCCACGGCTCGACCCTCCGAGCTCACGGCCACGCCAACGTACCTAAATCCCTCGATGCAATGGGATATGACCCCCATCGGCACGGCGCTCTCCCCCGGCGCGGTTCCGTACCTTGTTGATCCATGGAGGATCCAGACACACTCTCCACAGCACATACTTGCCAGTGGTCCCAGCGGCCAAAACATCATCGCTATTCCCGCAGCCGTCGAACCTAGACAAGAAGTTCCCGACCAAACTCTTTTCCTACTCAAACCGGGGCCAGCGGCAGTGGCAGCAGCAACATCTTCAAAGAAGCCATGCCTGAGCCACCCACCTCTCGCATTCTCATCAGTAGCGGTCGCTGTCCTTCTGGCACCAAGCGGCGCCGGTCCAGGTATTTTTGCCCATTTTCAGTCGTCTAATGATAAAAGAGACTAATAAGACCCGGTCCAAGCTGACTGAATTCCTTTTCCTGATGAGAGTAGCAACAAAAGCAGTAACGTAACCGGCATCTGGTGCGACTAGAGGGATTGTCCCAGCCGCCCGGCCTTCAACAGAGAGGCCGACCTCTGGCGGCACATTCGGCACACCCACCTTGCTCCTGGGTTGTATGTGTGTCTCTTCCCTCAATGCGGCCAGTTGTTCGACCGTCATGATAATTTGCTGGAGCACCGACTGCGAGTGCATCGATTTTGCAACACCCGGCCGAACTGACTTGGTTTAGTCGGATATAAGCGGAGAGAAGAGGGGCCTGGACCTTTGCGTTTTTGTGATCTTGATCTCGGCAGACTTTGAGGCTATTTCACCCTGATAATATTCTCAGAATGATGTGGAGACGTCTTATATCCGTTTTATTGATTTCATTCTATAATACTATTGTTCTTAAATCAGATGTCGTGATAGTCCTCTTATGCCGATGGTTTGTAGTGCGTGTGACCAACCACCGCTACCAAGGTTGTCTTGGCTCTAATCCCAACAAAGAATGGGAAGACACCGTGGACAGCTTATCCAATGTCAGAACAAGGCGACACGCTGGGCTACCACGCTCACTGGGTGTTCTTAGAGGCTTTCTACGGGACGGTCCGAATCAACGCACTGCTTCGAGCGAAACCGTATCACGTTCCACAACATGGACAGGAAATCAAGGGATACAAGGTTTAAGCCTCGCTATCTTACGCAAGGGCCTTTGGTAAGCCCTAACGGGAATACCGGATATATCTCTCCTTTCGTGACCACTACTTGGATCATGTCTGCCGGAAACCACTGGACAGTTCGAATAGTTTTGAACATGCATCAAGTTATCTCCTTTCACCCCCGTGGGTAGATATGTACAATGGTTGAGGAAAAGAATATGTATGCAGAAATGAGAACAGCGAATGAAAGAGGCACCACACGAGTAGGTTTACAGCGAGCTCAAGCGACTCACACTGGAGGCCTTGCTCACGCGATGACCGTGGTTCGCCTTGTTGTCCGCGGCCAGCGTCTGGGCGAACTTACTGCGCTCACGGATCTGCGGGCCCTTCCAATAAAAGACATAAATGGGGATGACGACGAGACAAGACAGGCAGGCCAGGATGGTGGTGGCGTACTCGACGTGGAACTTGTCGCCGATGTTGGTGTACATGGGGGTGGTGTACATGGCCGCGATACCGGCCAGCAGGTCCCGGCAGAAAGCATTGCCGCCGGTAGCGGAGGCGGAGTAGACACCGTACGCGGCGACCATGTAATCGACCGACGACAGGTAGATGGCGTAGTTGGCGATGCCAACCATGGCCGAGAAGATCATGGAGACAATCCAGGGCACCCCATACTCCTTGCCCAGCGAGGTCCAGGCGAACCCGAAGAGTCCGATCGGCTCCAGCAGCGCCAGGTACAGCAGCCACTTCAGCCGTCGCTCCGGGGGAAGCGCATCGTCGCCCTGTGTCTTGCGGATGTGCTCGTCGCGCCAGAACCAGGGGAAGTACGAGAAGTAGGCGATCACGTAGGCGACGTTGATCGGGATCACCGCCCACGCCTGGCCTAGCACCCCGAAGCCCCAGCCTTCCGAGTAGACAATGCTGAAGCCTTCCAGGAAGGTGAAGATGAGCGCATCGGAGAATCCGGATAGTAGCGACAGGCAGAGGACGATCGGCTCCCGCAGGAACATGTAGAATGGGCGCACCCAGATCTTTCCGGCTTCCTTGAGAGACACTCGAGGCTTTTTCAGTTCGTTGGGGCCGTAGATGTTGGGGTCTTCGCCGGATTTGCGGCGGCGCTTGGCTTCGCGGTCGATGAGGATAGTGGATCGGCTCTCGGGCATGAAAAAGATGATGGCTTGGGTGACAGCACCGAAGATGAGCTGGATCCAGAAGAACCATTGCCAGTCCAGGACTGATGCGATGCGGTCAGTACCTATTTTTTCCTCGCTACAATGCCAGACTAGGACCATCACTTACAGCGTTCGATCGGACCACCAATGACTCCACCAATACTAGTTCCGATGCAGGATGACAAGACAATGAAAGCGAGGGGAAACTGCTGCGTTTCCGCCTCGTACAGATCGGCAATCAAGCCAAGAGTGACACTACCGCCTGCAGTTGAGATTCCACCCTATAATGATGTATATGTTAGTCGCTGAACTGCCAGTCTCGAAGAACCGGGCGGAAGCCTACCAATCCACGAGCGACCAAAATCGTCCCCCAGTTCGGGGCCAAGGCAGCCGGGATCTGCCAGATGTTGATAAGGAACATAGAGAGCTGGAGGATCGGCCACCGACCGAATTCTTCACTCCATGGCGCCCATAGTTCACACCCAACGGAGTACGTGATCAGGTAGATCATTTGTCCTGTTCGGGCTTCCTGTTGACCGATACCAAAGGCCTTGGAGAGAGGCTTCACAGCATTAGGAAAGACGGAAGTGTTGAAGTTCATGGAGACCTGGACACAGGCGATGGCCGCGAGGTATGTCCATTTCTTCCAGCGGGGCCAACAGTAGGCCAGCTTATCGTAGCAGTCTTCTTCCTTCAACTCTCGCTTTCCGTTCGAACGCAGCGAGCCAACCTCATCTTCAGCGCCTCCATGCCAGGGAGGTACGATGCGATCCCCGCTATCCTGACTGTCGCTGCCCTTCTCCTTGTCGGAGAAGCTGCTGCTCGGTGATTGTGATTCGGCCCGGCTTAGGGGGTCGGCCATGATATGAGTTTTTTTACCGTACTATGTGAATAGAGGTGTATTGAGGGAAGATCTAGTAGCAGAAGTTCATATCGAAGGGGGAAGTTCGGGGTTGAAAAAGAACCATGAACGTGGAGCGAGCGGGGCAGAGGAGGGGGAGGCGGGGGAGAAAGAATTTTTAAGGTCGTGGGACTTTCCCGAAACAGATGAACTATTTACTCGTCTACTCGTGTGTGTACATGATGCTACGTCGATGCGTCGTGCTTCTAGGGCAAGTGATGCGCATGCTATGCTGGGCTGTGGAATGTTGTCATAGTTCGCCCCTTCGACCTCCACCGGTTGATTCCCGTTGGTCCCGATGGGGGGTCGGGACGGCCTCCACTTGGCGGTGCCGATCCACAATTCGGTCTCCGACCAACACAACACCACGGGCCCAGAGACGATTCTACTCTCGGCAATAAAAAATGACTAAATGATGGCATGGGATGCGCTGGATCGTGTCGACATGATGGTTTTTCCTGGATGGATAAATAATCTAATCCGCCTGGCTGAAGAGAAGTCTAGATGGTGAGCCAGGAAGTGCCTGTGGTTGTCACGACACTTTTCCGGTTACGTTGGTGTCATAGACACATGAGCGACACCGTAGCGTTGGGCCGAGCTTCTGATGGAATTCTATGGCACTAGAGGACTGATCGTGGGCGAATAATCGTTCTGTGGAATTCGGAAGGTCAGCAGGGGCAGACCCACATGGAATGCTTATGATATCATGCTTGAATTTTCATCACCAGCTCCTACTCAGCATTCTGGAAGATTTTAGCCTGCGAATCTCTTTTGCAACCTGCAAAGCAATGAAGAATCGAAAGTAAAAGAGCGATAAAGTTAAATGACTTGACACAATCCGATCTGTGACATGTTTTCGACCATCGAGCCTGTTATCGACTTAGGGTTTCTCTCCATTGACAACACAGTCCAGGATGGGACCGGAACCCGAGACCCGAACCGTGGTCAACCTACTGATGCGATCATGGAAAGTGACGTATCGGCCCTGCATGGTTGCGGTTAAAAGTCTTCCTCTATCAGGCACTTTCCCTGTGCTATGACGTTCTCGAGCTTCTCAGCGACAAATTCGGTCGCAGTTTGCGGCTGTCGATAAGTGGATCGGCGGGTCGCGCATGCTTAGTGTCCCCTGGCGATCCACCCCTTGGTGGCGAGACCAGACCCTTTTCAGAATTCATCCATGCTTTAATGATTGGTGATGTAGACTGCATAAGCACTATCTATGCATTCCCTCGAGACCCCAAGATTTACACATACTAAGTAGTATAATGTGTGTACGGTGTACTGAAGTTATACCTCTGGCTTTACTTTGTATAACTGTGAAGCTTGCCGACGGTTCGGTGCAGTGTCTGTGTCGGTGTTCACGCACTATTAGGCTCAAGCGCAATATTATCCTGAATGAAATATAGCTCTCTTGCTGAATTTCGCGACGATCTACAGTATGTTGCGGTGAGGAGATTAATAGTGGTGACTGTTACCGCGAGTCACCTCACTGGAATGCCAGGCTGATGCGATCGTGGTCAAGTGGCTGGTGTCAAGATGCTATGTCATCATCTTCGAACTTGTTCATCGACGAGTCGAAAGAACTTGAGAAGTTGTGTACTCTGTAGAGTTGGCGCCGGGCATATCGCGACCTAATGGGCTCCCAACTATAGAGTCACGACTTGGTTGACTGCCTATGCAGTAATGCAGGTGCAGAGGCTTGCGCATGGGGAACCGTAGGAAGAATCTGTATAAAGCGTGAGTTGACAACACAGAAGATAAGCAAACTTCTTTGCACATTTAAGCCACAACGATATACAGATTCAAGACAGCCACATCGCCTGCCTCACACGAAGTGGTCTTCTTTGACGCCTATTGTCAGAATACAGATCGGACCCGTTTGCTGAGACTCTGTCCCTGACGAGAGCAGGTTTTGCACTTACCATTGATTTAATGGTCTACAGATCAATCGGCCCCATCTTCTGATAAGTACCTGCACTGGTCACGTACTGGGATTCGGAGCGATTTCGAAAGGGAAACCTAGTCGGTAGACCTGGCCAGATCTGGCTCGCCGGCTAATCTATGCATCTTGCCCCACACCGACTCCTACAGGGAGCTATTCCTGGGAAGCATTGAGTGACACCGAATTTGCGACGTGATAACTAGTAGAATGCTCAGTGGACTATATATTAGGAGATTAATGGTCGGTGAAATAGAGTCTCTGACTGTATTTTTATGTGAAATGCTTCATGATGCAGCCGTGGTGACCTCTGTATGCAGTACTCAGTACCTAGACATTTGGTACCATGTAATTTTCTAGGTAACTTACCCGAGGAACCTCTAGCTTATTGGTTACGCTCGACACCTTGTTCGAGTGGATCAAAGGGGCGGGGTATTATAGGCTGATGGGGTCATATCTTTATGCCTGAGGCATTACAGTCTATAGGCGTCGATTGCCAATCAAGTATCACTGCCTCAGGCTGAGGATTAGTAGTATTGATACACTATGGTATTCATATCTGAATTCATTACAGACTCTATATTTCAGCCTTCTGGGTATCTGTGAATCTCAAAGACCCACTTGATCCAGAGCCTAGATGTAGGCAAGCTCATCTATGCTGATGACTCGCTCATATTTTCTCTAGAACTGGAGAACGACTGTACATCGTACTACCGACCATTTTTTCGAGTTTTAAAAACCGGTGTCTCTTTTGAAAATGAGCTTTCAATCTATCCTCCCTCTTGTACTCACAGTTACAGCCACGGTTTTGGCACCTATAGTATAGCCTCGGCGAGGTGTGCATGTCCTCATTATGTCTCTTGAGATTCCATCTTCTCCAGGATTTGCTTATGTATTCGCATTGTGGGCATCAATGAATGATGGTATCTGTGTTTCTATCATTCATGGCCAGTCAAGGGGTGTCAGAGAAGCTGCATGATGCCAGACTCATCTGCGACTGTGCTGTGCAGTAGCAGTCTAATTACTATCGCAAGCGTTCGCTGCGAAGAAGTCCTCATGTTGAATCCCATTTAATGGTGATTAGAATTGACTCGCTTGATTGCTCTTGCCGTCTGTCAGTTCCAGCCAGAAGTGACTTCACACGTGAGCGAGACTCCTTGTGAGCCCTTGCATGAATCACGTATTTTCCATCTTAATCTCCAAACCATGAGCGTTCCATTGCTAGTCAAATTTGGTGACTCGAGGATCGATTGTTGCTGCTTAGTTGATTACATCCTGATCCAATTCTCCTCCACACAGCATCTGAGATCCTCGATTGAGTCTTTCCCGGAGCCATTGGAATGGTATGCATTGTACACGAAACGACGTAGATTCGAAAATCCCATCTAGTGTGCTGTAAAGTGTATCTGCAGGTTGCACAGATCCCAGCATCGCAGCCGGACCTGCCCGCCCTCAGCTGGCCATTGTGCGGCGGCCAACTGGATCTAAGAAGAGAGTACTAAGACCAATACTACAATAGGGGGGGATGGAGCACCACTACCCTTTGAACATGACACTTGGGAGCTAGCGAGTGAACCGTGCAATTTGCGAGAAAAGGAGTTCTTTGTATTTCGTATATGCAGTATACCATATGACTCTTTGTACTTCTCCTGAGTCATGCCACCAAGCCGACCGGTGAGCAAAGGTACAGTAGCACACGTTCGCAAGATAGAGGCGGCCCCGGATCGGCTAATAGCGGCGGTTCGTCGGCGCGGCACGGATGGGATCCCCCGGCCCGTGTTACCCACCTTACCTAAACGTACTGTACTGTACAGTACGTAATGCCCTGCTGTAGTCTGTTCAAAAAAAAAGCACCTCGACGGTCGCAACCCACGGATCGGCTCAGGTCCGTGGACGTCTTGACATGATTTCGGTGACGCGAGGTAGTTTTCATTCCCTTGATAAGGATTTTTGTCCTATCCTTTATGCTTTGGCTGTCCTGGAGAAACAGCTTTGACTGGGATTTGTGTATAGTACTAATCGCGAGCCCATATGTTCAGCTTATACCTAAAGTGCAAACTAGAAAGTAAGTTAGCAGTTTGCGGCAAAAGTGCCTCATGTGCCGCTCAACATCGGCTAGAAAAGCAGAATCCTCTAGACTATCACATTTCTTTCAATGCATCCAATCACTCCTGTATTCTCCGGTGGCCCCAACGGGGGTGAATGTGTTGAGTTATGTGTTTATCACCAACTCAGAGACTTTATAAGCTCTCGTCTGTTCCGTGTCTCCCAAAAATAGTTACCAGTTGGACATGAACTACCTTCAACTTCCATGCACCGAACCAGTTGGAGTGTTTGAATTTAGACAACAATGCGATGCATTTGATGAGATCTTTCCGCTCCCCTGTCCCTCTTCAAGGTACCGAGTACCATACCTTTCTTGTCCTCCCATGCCTACTTCTCCCTTTTAATACTAACACCTACAGTTCTTAGTCTACGCATGGTGCTGCGAGAGTACCACAGGAGAATATGCGCATATCCAGCTATTTATGCAAACACCTAAAAAATTCCGGTGATCGACGGTCCCGTTAGCTACCCGGACTCCTACCTGCCTTGACCCCCTTGAGCACGCTACAACCTCGAATTGAGGGAGAAAAACCAGAGCCTGAAAATTGAAAGAGAAAAGGAATAAGAAAAAGGGAAAGAAAAGGGGATAAAAAGAAAGAAAGCAAAGAAAAAATACACATAAAATAGGCTTGAACGCTGACCCTATCCCCCTATCTGGCCCCGAGCTCATTCTCACAGTAAGAAGAAGAGTCCCTCGACGAAGAAATAGGCGCTAGCGGATGCTTTGGTGGCCGTGTACGCGGAGCGCGTGCTCAGTGAGGTTATCGTTGCGGTTGAAAGACCGACCGCATCCGTCGATCAGGCACACATGCGAGCCGGGCGATAAGTGGAGATGTTTGATGTGTCGCCATAGATCGGCGGATCGATGGAAAGTCGGACGGGCGTCGCAGTCCTTCCAGTTGCATTTGAAGATGCTGGTCGTTGATGCGGTCCTTGCTTTTGGTCAACTCTAGAAGACAAGTGGACAGTTTTAAAAGATCGGGGAGAGGTACTGTACCTGTCGCGACGCTCGGTGGCGGGACCGGTGCGGGAAGTGTTCCTGCTGCGAGAGGGCAGTGTCTGCCCGCTCGACAGTTGATGGCCTGGAACATGTACAAAGGAGGGATTATGCTGTTGGCGAAGGCTGCTGTCTAGAGGCGGAAGCGGGACTGTACTGAGACCAGGGGCTGAGCGGTCTATGAATAGCAGCGTACTTGCCATGACAGGGGTGGTCCGGCCAAAGTCTTGTCTCGCCGGCGAGTAGAGTCTTGGACTAGAAGTCGAAATGAACAGAGGATTTTGTTGGTTATCCGGTTGCGCATCGGTGTATGTCGTGAACTGGGCCACGGGGTCGAAGCCTTGCATGAGTTGAATGCTAAACAGTTGGCTTCTCTCGCTAGTCAAGCCATCCCAGCCTGGCATTTCTCCTTCAAACGGAGAGTAAGAGGTATCAGGAACGGGAACATCACCATTCAGGAAGCTTGAATTATGAAACATCTCGGGAAAATAGAAGTCTGAGTAAACGCCAGTGTAGCACGAGGTGATGCACGGAATAGATGCTTAAATTGGTTATCGTAGGGAATACGATGCCGCAAAGCAGCCTTTTATATCCATTGCGAAGAGGATGATGGAGAGGCTTTGGGAGACTGATCGACTGAACGCCGTCGGTGCTTCACATCTATGCGCCGGCAGCTGTTCAGGAAGTAAACACCAAAGTGAAACGATGACAGCCGAGCTGCAGCTTGCAGCCTGATTGCGACACCGGTGTGGAGAGCTCCGTCTGGAAACCCAGTCTTCCGTACCCCGTCATTGGTCGCTCTTCTTGAGCTCTTCTTGATGATGAAAGGCGCCACTTCGGCTCGTCTCAGCCGCATGGCGGTAGTATGAGGGGTAATAGGAGTAATACCTGCGGGAAATCATATGGACAGCACAGTACCTATTTTCTGCCTCCCGTCACTTGAATACGCGGGTCAAGAGTGCCGGCTGCCGGAGCTTGCCCCTCCCACAAAGCGGAGATCGTCCCAGCCGAATGCTCCGCAACGACTTTCTACACCATTATCATGGAATTCTTATTCTTCTTATTCTTCTTATTCTTTTTCTTTGGTTACTTCTTTGTGTTTCTATTTTTCTATTTTTCTATTTTTCTATTTTTTCTTATTTTCAGGGCTGTGTTGTCCCGAGCAGCATCCAGCCACAGGTCAGCCACGGGTGGCTTCTCAGGCACATACTGAGTACTATTTCGGAATTGCGATGGTCCCACGATAGGCGGAACAAGCACCAGCGATCCACGTGGCGCTAAAAGCGAAGTGGGGAAGACATCGAAGGCCGATGGATTGGTGTCGGGAGCTTATAGATTCCATCAAATCAATGGTCGGTCGCGACAGACCAAGAGAGGGACCGAACGACCCCATCATCTGTCACTATTCTACATATCGCCCGGGCCGCCAGTCGGCACACTCGCGCCTCAGGATGGCCTATTGCCCTGAATATGTCGTCAATTGCTGCAAAGATGTCGGAGTCCATGCTTCTGGATTTGAGCTCTGGTAGTGATGCCAAAGCCCCGTTGGGAGGAGGTGGTGGTGGGTAGGTAGGTAAGGTACCCAAACCCGAAGGCACTACGTATCATTATTGCATCTTCGATCTGCGTCCGGCATAACTTAATACTGCTGACTGACTGACCCGGCGGTTGCGCAATGAGGCAGGCGCAATGAGGCAGGGACTACTTGTTTCAGGGATCTATCCCCCCACGACAGCACAGCACAGCACAGACACGTTGCCGTCGGTCCTCCTATGGCGGGCATCGGGGTAACTTAACGTTACCTACTACCTAAGGTAAGCAAACAGACGCCCGACCCCGACCCCCTCCTCTAAGCGGTTAGCGCAAATCGGCCTCGGTTGTCACTTTCCAAGGCATGGGGACTGAGAACTGAGACCCTGCGTTGCGGTGTCAACTCCGTACCGTCTCAGGCTTTGGTTGAAATCATCTTATCTGTCTTCATTCAAGCATGCGAGTCTTTTCAACTACTTCTTGAAGTAATTCGAAATGGATAACAGCATAAATGTCTCCCGCTTTAGGATCCATGGTCTCTACCTCGACACCGAGTGGAACTATAAAACATGATCATCCCGGCATTATTACCACTCTTTTACCCCCCCGGCCCCCCCCCTCCCTAAGCACGCACCCTGATATCCCCCGAAAAAATTACTCAATCAGCACCCTTAACTTCTGCGCCCACGTCTCCCTCGGCCGAGGCGGACGCTCCGCCTCCAGAATCTCCTGCAATCCAGACACCAAATCGACCTCGGACGGTTTCCAGGCCCACGGGTCGCGCCGAAAGACCACGCGATGGCCGAAGTACAACAACACGAACGCGGGGATGCCGATATAGGCGGTGAAGAAGTTGCTGGCGGACCACTCGGACGGAAAGAAGCAGGTGAAGCCGTTGATGAGGGCCAGGAACACCGAGCCGACGAGGCCGACCCACATGCCGTAGGGCTGCAGGCGCGAGGCGTAGGGCTTCTCGACGCCCTGGGCCTTGATGGCGGCATCGAACCGGAAGTACACGATGCTGCAGCAGATCCAGGAGATGAAGCCGGAGGTGTTGGTGAAGTTGATGAGCCAGTTGAAGACGGTATAGCTGCCGCTGCCGACGGCCATGTAGGCGAGCAGGGCGAAGAGGGCGGAGACGCTGACCGCGAGGTAGGGGACGCCCCAGCGGTTGCAGGTCTTGAAGACGGTCGGAGCGTTGCCGGCGACGGCCAGCGAGTACAGCGAGCGCGAGGACATGTACAGGAACGAGTTGCCGGCGGACCAGGCCGAGGTCAGGATCGCGGCGTTGACGATGCTGTCCAGCACGGGGATGCCCGCGTTGGAGATCGCGACCACCCAGGGGGACGAGCTGGCGTCGGTGCCGGTGCCGTTGATCAGCTGCGGGGCGTTGGACGAGCAGATCACCCCGATGGCGAGCGCGCCGAGAATGTAGAAGATCACCAGGCGGTAGATGTAGCGGCGCGCGGCCTTGGGGAGGTTGCGCCGCGGGGACTCCATCTCGCCGCCGCTGATGACGATGAGTTCCGGCGCGAAGATGAACGCGATCGCCGACTTGACGACGCACTGCAGCAGGCCGACGAAGCGGCCGGCGTCCCCGTGCACGAGGTAGGTGTTCATCGCGCCGGGGTCCTTCCAGTAGTGGAACCCGAGGCGCTGGCGGTTGGGCCCGCCGCCCCAGAAGAGGATGAAGGCCAGCAGCAGGAGGCCGACCAGCGTGATGATCTTGATGCCCGCGAACCAGAATTCCGTCTCCCCGTAGAAGCGCACGGGCAGGAAGTTTAAGAGGACTATCACCACCAGCATGATCGTGATCCAGACGGCGAGGTTGACGTCCGGGTGCCAGTAGTCGATGACCATCGATGCGGCGACGATCTCGTAGGGCACCAGGATCCCCAGACTGTACCAGTATAGATAGCCCATGGCGAAGCCCAGACTGCGCGACACGTAGCGGACGGAGTGGTGCGCCATGGTTGCGCCGTGGGTCGGGAGATAGGCCCCGACCTCACCGAGGCCGGTGACGAGCGCGTAGACGAGCCCCGAGATGAAAATGTATCCTAGCAACAGCGACAGGGGACCTCCGATGTGTAGCGCTTGACCTGATCCGACGAAGAGGCCGGTGCCGATTGTGCCTCCTACAAGACATGGAAGGTCAGCTTGATGATGATGATGCAGTGCTGTGGTCGTGGCAGCAAAACAGACCTAGCGCCATCAGCTGGACATGACGACTCTTGAGGCCACGCTGGGTGGGCTTGTAGCGCTCATCGAACAACTCGCGCTCGATCATCGTGCCGGGCTTGACATCCATGGTCGCAACTTCTGGGTCAGGGCGCGAGGGGGTGACCCCCGATGATTTTTCATGGGCGGCCATGATGATGGCGGACACGTTGGATTTGGAAAGAAAGAGAGATCAGGGGGGAGATAGTTGTGAAATCAACGGGGGGAAATCCGGTAGGCGCGCATTTCGAGTGACGAAGTACTAACGTCGTGCGACCTCACCGGTTATAAGCGTGAGATCGTAAGTTTTCTCCGGCCCATGAACTGAGCCGTTGGTAAACCTTGGCGACAGTGAATTTGCGAGATTGTGACGAGTAAGATGAATCCCCGCAAGCAGGAGGGATGTCACACAGAGAGAGTGTGTGTGAGACGAGCCGATAAGAAGATGCGGGGAAACCCAATCGGTCACTGTGTTGGCTTGGGAGAGGTGCGCCACAGTCATCACACTAACCTACTTCAGTGTCGCTTATCTTTCTGCTCCCTGACAAGGGCGAACTCCGTCCTCACAAAGGAGCTGGCAATTTCCAAGCCGGGCTTCTGGAAGGCTGAATCCCTCCGTCGCATGGCTGGCGCTGCCCAATCCGCGTCCCCTGGTGGCCTGCCAGTCCGCCAGTCCGGTCTAGCATGTTGTTGCGCATCTTATCTGTTCCTAGCACTCCCCTCCAGGGTCCAAGGACCCCTGAACCAGTGGCTGGCCGTCTAAAAAGCCACTTGACCGGTCCGACGACCGGGCCGGGTAACAGATCTGGCATTTTGGAAAGTCCTGAGTTGCGGACGCTCACGAGATCCAATGTTAAGCGAGATGACATACTTCTTGGCGGGCTCGCTTGGAGTGACCAACGGCAAATCGCGAACCTCGGTTAGATCAGATCAGTTGGGAGTCTGAGAAACTCGGCCGATGCACAGTGGATGATTGTAGGCGGTCGCTCAGAAAAACCAAGAACCACAATCAAGCAAACATCAATTCATCAATGGTCATTAGTCTTAAATTGTATTACTGCTCCAAACGACGCACAAACCAAAAGTACCAAATAGGGTATCGTCGACAAAAGTCAATCATGCTCCTGATGGTTAGGAGTCTCTCCCCCACCCACCAATGTGATCCCAAGACACCATAACCACGCGACGTTGGCTCCCTTCCGTTCCCAACTGCCGTAGCAGATCCATCTCGTGTGCCGTCAGCATCTTCCCATTCCTCCGTCGCTCCCACGCCGCCTGCGTGACGATGGGCGCCAGCTCCTTCGCGATGGCAGCCTCATCCCGATGACACGCATAGACCGTCTGCGACCCCCGGACGCGGGAGAAGTACCACACCGCGCGGACGACGTCGTAGCGATGCTCGAGGAACCAAATGACCGGCCAGGTGATGATCCAGAGCTGCAGGATGATGCAGAACCAGTAGGCGAAGGAGTTATTGCGCAGCTCGTTGATCCAGTGCGGCGAGTAGATCGTCAGCTTCTTATTGGCGAGGGTGATGGAGATATCGATATTGCCGTGATAGTTGAGGTTGCGGAGGTGGGAGATAAGGAGGGAGCGGAGGGTGGCGACGTCGAAGCCGACAATGCTCCTCGTGAAGCGAAACCTTAACCCTCATATTAGTACGAGGCTCAACCACCCAACTGGGGGGAGGAGGGAAACATACGACTTGACCGGCCCGGGATCCAGACAGAACCGGTCACACCAGCCCATCAACCCAGGTTCCTCGCCGTCTTCGCCCACCAGACCCACAATCTCCCCCTCCGACGCATCCTCCACATGCCCTCCGCCAGATCGACGGGTGTGACCGGCCCAGGTAGCCGACCGGGAGCGACCGCCGCGATACGCCTCCTGCCCGTCCCCATCGCGGACCACACTGCACACCCGCCAGCCGTCGCGATCCTCTTCCTCGTTTGGAGCCGCGTCGACCTCGTCCTCATAATCGGGCACCGCGTCGTAGTCGCGGACCATGTACTTGTAGAGATCGATCTTGAAGTCGAAGTCGACGACTGTCTCGTTCCGCGTGCTCTTGTTGTTATTGGTGTTGTTGCTGTCGGTGGTATCGTTTGACTCCTCGCGGGTCTCGGTGTGGGAGCCGCGGACGGTCAGATACGGTCGCGGAGGGGTCCGGGCTTGGCGCACGATCAACGCGTGGAGGGCGGACGGGTCTTCGCTGAGGATGGGGTCCAGCATGACGCTGCGATTGTCCCCTGCATCGGAGGTGGTTCGAGCGGAGCTGGGTCTGGGGAGAGGAAGGGGGGGGTTGGTCGGAGAAGCCGTCGAAGGTTGCGGTGGTTGAGGGGTAACTGGCCCAGCGGCGATGGTTTCTTCGTACGACGGGGGTGGAGCGGTCGGGTTGCCCATTTTCTGGGAGAGTAGACACAGCAAGATATTATCTGAGAGTTGCAAATGGTATAGGTAGCATACTAGGTGTGGTCGTTGCGGACAGGACACATAATCCGGAGTTGAGTTATACAGTACATGAGTAGGAAGGAAAGTGATGTGCGTAGTAGCCTGGAGAGACGAGGCGGAGCTGTTGTGGCGGTTCAGCCTTGGCGCTTCCCGCCCTATAAATAGGTAAACTACCCCACGGCACCCCCAGGCACCCACAAAAGTCGATGCGCCGAACAGCGAAAATCATTGACCACCATTTTAATTGTTCTCTCCACCGCAATAATTTTGCTAATCCTATACTAGGATACAGGATACTGGTATCCTCCTCACACCAACAGTCTATTTCGACTGCGCATTGATAGCCGCCACATGATCCGTCACCAGGCACGTGAAGTCGCTGGTGTTGTAGTAGAAGGTGTTCCCATCGTTTGGGGACTGGCCCCAGCTGAACGTGGTGCCATACTGCCAGTACAAATCGGCGGAGATGCCCGTCGCGTTTCCGGCCGTCTGCTGCCAGGGGCTCTCGACGGCGCAGTGGTTGGAGGTCACTCCGTACTCTTCCAGCAGGCACGGCTTGCCCACCGCCTTGCACGCGGCCGCGTGGGCCGTGATCCAGCCGTTGCCCCAGTCGTAGGAGGTGCCCCCTGCCAACAACGTTAGTTCCATTGACTTCTAATACGGAATCATGGGAAGAACATACAGCTATCTGGGTACAGATGCAGGGTACCGAAGTCGATGGTCGAGATGCCCAGGTTCTTGGTGAAGTTCAATCCCTCGCCGTAGGTGTAGGGGTAGCTGCCGTCCGAGTCGACGTCGAGACCGAAGCCCTCTGTGTTAATGAAGATTGTTAGCTTCAGATGGGGAAAGGCGATCTGATCCGGGTCAACCTACCATCGCCAATCGTGACCAGGTGCTTGGAGTCCAGCGACTTGATATACTTGGACGTATCCGAGATCCAATTGTACAGGACCGAGGTATCGCAGCCCTGGCAGCGGGGCTCGTTGGCCAGCTCCCAGGCGAAAATGGCCGCAGAGCTGCTGTACCGCGAGACGACCGCCTTGATGTAGTTCTTGTAGGCGGCCTGGATGGCGGTGTTGGTGTAGAAGTCCGTCTGGGCGGCGGCGCCGTAGGCCGTGACGTAGGCCTGCATGCCGCCGTAGTCGGTCCACTCGTTGACGAAGTTGATGATCAGCTTGACGCCGTACTTCTCGGCCGAGGTCACCACGTAGTCGAGGCGCTGGAGCCCGTCCGCGCCTGTGTTGATGGTCGAGGTGCCGTTCGCGTGCAGCTGGTACCACACCGTCCCGTCGGTGGGCTTGGTGTTGACGTCGTTGAACCCCCAGACCCGCAGGATCTTGAGGTCGGACGCCGCCAGCTGGCTCATGACGAGGTCTACGTCGTCGTTGTTGGTCAGGAACCCGATCCAGTACGAGTTGGTGCCAGCGAAGTAGCCCGTCTTGCCGTCAATCGTGAAGTGCAGCCCCGAGGTGCTGGGGAAGGCGGTGGTGGCCGCGTTGTGGTTCGGCGTCCGGGGAAGAGCCGTCGCCAGCGCCAGGCTGGCGAGGCTGAGGAGCATGTGGGAAAGCTTCATCTTGGTTGTGTGGTATTGTCAAGTCGCCTGGCTCTGAATCTCATGCTTCCTGCGCCAACCTGCCTCTTCTTATAGAACCCTGATCCGGGACCTTTGCAATCGGACCATCCTCCGTTTCTAAAATGAGAAGCTCCTCGAGGATCGAGGGGAGTCTGTTTCGTATAGGGAAGGAAATCCACTGAATATCCGCTTATAGAACGGAGAGACGGTGATCGTCAGGGCCGTTAATCAATTCGGCTCTGCTGGCGTTTTGTCCGTGCTGATTTGGGAATGGCGGATCGGCTGGTGTTTCAGATGACGTGAGTGGTGGAGGGTCTGTTCCACTTCTGCCGCGACAAGTCATCGCTTGATTTAGCCGCATTCTAGACCGACATGCAGTTATGCATGGGTTCTGGGGTAAACGATTGAGTTATTTAGTGGTTGCGGGGTTGAGGGGCAGAGTCATCTGCCTGGACAGTCGGGCCGTATGCCGTACAGGAAATGCTTTCTACAAAGCACTCTCACAGCAAGATCACACCATAACGAAGTACAACAATCATATGCCTCAAGGGGTAGCAGTGGGTCTTCCATGTCAAATTTGAAACCGATCTTGGCAGGGTGGGCATTTGTTCCAGACGCTACCCGCGTTTGCGCAGCGACAGACCTATATAAGAGCAAGACTTAAGACATGGCCTAGTAGCCGCTTCGAATATGAAGTTGTACAGTTTCAGTCTGGATCACGGCTGGTGCCTATTCATGAAAGCAGCCAAGGACATCGACTCGGTGTTCATTCACATCAGAGGACTAGTGACTTCACTTGAGTCCGCCTCAGTCACCAAATGAGCCCTGTCAAAGGATGCACACTGGACGACACTACACCTGCCACTACTCGACTTCCGCTCGAAGCGATCCTGAATGAACCCCAACCACTCAGGAGAACTCGCCGTCAAGACATCGGTATGGTCCATGTCCGCATAGACGCTTATGTGAACCTCATTGCCCGATAGACAACTTGCGTTGAACGAGCGGGTGGTAGTCTTTGGTAGGACAGCGGTGTCATTTAAACCCCGAACGATGAGCATCGGTGTATTCGATGTACCTCCATTGGCAGGGGCCATTGCGTTCTGCCACGCTTGAAAAGGGACATTGTTCACGAGTGCGCTCGTGTTTGTAATCATTTTCTGACGGTCTAAGACCGTACCCCGGCGACATGATGCTATAGTAGCATGCCTGCGCGAGCTCAGCGATGTCGACGCGCTGGAGGAAGGTGTCGAGAAGAAGGAGAGGTCGATCCCGGGGATGACGCGCTTGAGCGCGAGGGGCAGCCAGAGGGATTCGTAGGTGATATTACAGCTCGCATAGTTGCTGGCTGTCAGAACGGTTTCAGCCGTGAGCGCTGTCATATCGTAGATCCTGCTGGCGGGTGCTAGAGCCACGGTGCCCAGGTATTCTCCCGCGCCGTAGGTTTTGACCAGCTCACTCTCCGACAGCTTCCACACAGCCCCGCCTCCCTGGCTGTGACCCACACTCGTTCATTCCGAGGTGAAGGTGTGTGGCAGAGCATTGCGCGCGGCGACCATGGCGTAGTTGAGGCCGTTGGCGGCAGGGAACGAGGAGGGTGGCATTGTTCCCGAGTCCCGCTTAGTCCGGCGCGACGACCGCGTACCCGTTCTCAATCAGGAGGCTCCAGCTGTGGTAGTCCTAGAGATCGGTGGTGGGAGTGGGAGGACAGCCGGCGAAGACACCAATGGTGCCGTGGGCATAGGCGACCACGGGAAACTTCGTGTCGGGTCGGAACGAAGTATATGGCATCCCGATGATTCCGGTCGCGGGGACGAGGGTGCCGTTCAAGTCCCTTGTAGTGTGTTAAAAGCGAGGCGGTCATTCCGGTGATCACGTTGAGTGTGTTTGGTTCGACGGCTTCGAACTTCAGCAGATCACCTACAGCAGAACCAGTAAAGTTGCTTGCGGTGCTGTAGAGATCGTAATCGAAGCTCATGCCGAACATCTCGGCATCGACAGCCATCCCGACTTGGAAGTAAGCCTGACACGCTGCATCACCTCCAAGCTGAGTCAATGTATTTGTCGATACATTGAGGTTTGCAGTAGATGCTCTGGCCAGAGAGCTGCAAGCGAGGCCGTTAAAAATGGTAGCAGGTAGCATTGCAAAAAGACAGGCTATTCAAGGAGTAAAACAAAGTCGGTGCTGATATTTGAACGTCAAACAGTTATAGAGACTAAAAGACTTCACTTCCACGCAGCATGCAGCATGGAGGAGATATTTATCTCCTCTTTGAGTCTGAGGAGTATATACTATACAGAAGTCTAAGCTTATTTACCCCGAAACGCGCGGGCAGCGCCCCGCTAGCGCTAGGCTGTATTTAGGCATGATGCGCAAGGGTAGAGCAGTTCAGACGGTAGTGGAACTCACTTCAGACAACCATTAGACAAAAGCAACATCATGTAATTCTGTCTAGATGCTCTATGTATAGTTTGTGATGTTGCGTGGAACAGAGCAGTCTCAGCTGGTTCATCGTGCTTGATCACTAGATTATGCTTGTCAGCGTTGCTAGGGAACCCGGCCACGTGACTCCATAGGCCTTTTCCCTCTTGTTCACATGCGGGAACGAAGCTAGTTCAACCACCAAGAAAATCAATGACTCGTCCCAGCAGCCTACCTCTAAAGCTCCAAATTGTCGTCAATGCTCTTTCTTTCATCTCATTGACTTTTGTGACAACAACTTTGAAGCTGCAAGCACCTGTGACAGTGAAGGGCTCGGCCAGCGGAGACATATATCCCTACACTATTATCAGGCACCAGTTTGCAAGGCGATCGGTGTCTCATACAAATATCCACAACTTGCGAGGATCACAATGGAGAATTGAATCATATACAGCAACGTATGCATAGTGTGCTTGAGTTCAATTGGTACATATGACATTTTATTGTCCGACAAATGTGCAGTCGTCGGACGATTCGAGGTGCAACCTACGTTCAACGCCGCTCGTATCTATCAAAGTGCCCTACTCGAAAGCTGCCATAGTTGGTTCTCCATTGAGCGAAAACGCCGAAAGAAACTCGTAGCACCTGCCAGTTCACTGACAAGCACACACATGAAGGCCTTATATCGAAGTTCTCAAGGACGAGTATGATGTGCACGTAGCATGTAACAAAATTCGTAAGAATCGGATACGCCGTGTAGGCCTTTCTCTAGTAAGATGAAAGAAATAACCTGACTAGTGAGAATCCTCCTCTTTCGCTGAAAGTAGGCACAACCAAGATACCGGCCTCGAACCTTCGATCTAGTTCTCAGTCCAGACTGCCAGATTTCCACGTGCTTCTGTCAAAAGGCCAGTGGATTCGGGAAACACCCGACGCAAGTGTATCAAGGTGGTAGGTGACGCACTAAGGAGAATCGCATGGTCCCCCCAGTGCGGCTTGAGAGAAACAAGCAATCCCAACAAGAATCATGTCACTGTGTCAGAAATCAAGGTTTCTTGCCCATCTAAGCAAATAAACTCCCTAGATTAACATGGGCTGTGCGGGCTCTGCCGAAGTGTCGTCACTACCAAAGAACTCGGAGATAGTTCACTCTTTCGGTAGTGTCTCCGACCAACACTATCGGTAATTATGATTGTCAGATGATCGGGAGACCGTTGATTTGACAGATCGGGCCCCATAGAGAAAATATCGTCGTGCTGGGCCTGCGTTCGGCAAGTTCATAGCGTTGGCGCCGTGGCTTGAGACCGGGCGCCCTTTCGGATCTCGGAAAAAGATTACTGAGGCTGGCGCGATGTGGGGAATGACTTTTCCCGGGGCTGCTATTCGGGTGCTATAGTGTCCCGTAGTTCGCATGGGGTAAAGAGTACAGTACGGAGGGCTAATGAACAATTGGCCAATAGACTCGATGGGTGATAAAAGATTGTTATGAAGCTTGAAGGTTAAGTGACTCTCCAGACCGGATGATATTCTATCCTGCAATCCCGAAGCAGGCCGTAATGGTACGATCGTACGGCCGAGTAATCTCGAACCTTGTATACCTGTGGCTTGAGGCTAAGCAAAATGCCTGCTCCCGGCCGTGCCATTTCCAACCTTCAACCTGGTGGCAATAGCTTCAGCTTCAATGGTTCGGCTCTTACAGCTATATCCGATCCATGATCTCGAACTCATCGCTACCGGCAGTCGGCGGTCTGACGGGGAGTCCAGCTTCCAGAAGCCGAACAAGAATTTGATTAGATTTGATCCGAGACACCTTTCTAGGAAAGTTCCACGGCAACTGGTGAGTAAGCGGTCTATACGTCATCCGAAATTCCATCCTAAGCGAGCACGTGAGCGCGCAGCAGCCCTTGCCCTATTTGATTACCCGGCTGAAGGGGTCCTGCACGAGGGACTCGGGGCCTCAGGGGTTGTCTCTAGATGATCAGTGGAACCGGCAAACAATAGTCAGGAACATCTTCAACTTCTATCCCACAGGGGAAGCGATGGGGGATTCTGGACGTGGTACAAGATTATCTGCTACTTCTCAATTACACAGTACGTAGACGGAGACGAATAGTTCATGTGGACAGTGCATGGGAATAGCGTCATAAATCAAGGGCAACCCTAAGCAAGCCATTGTCGTCATTGTGCGAGAAGGATCAGAAGTTCAGAACCCTGGCCGGAGGGAGTTTAGGCGAGGTTCGCACCAAGGCAGCCACGAAGCTTGGTGGAGGATTCCAGAGCCAACCAGTCGAGTCCATTAACGCCACCAATCATTTTCGGCTCGGTCGGGATGGCAGTCAGCTGGACGTTGGCAGCCATTCTCGCAGTAATGGGACGACTCTCGTCATCCCGACCATCGGGGCCGAAACGCTTTTCTCGGTCGGCTTAGCGAGCATGTCAGTACCAGATGTCGGCTGGGAATTGTAGACGAGGGACAATTGGTTGAAGGGGCATGAGAGCAAGAGCAATCGACGCTGTCGGGAATAGCTTCGTGTACCTAGTACGTACGAGTAGACACAACGACTCCAGTGACATATCAAATTCCCCATGTTTTATTGCGTGAATTCTCCACTGGTTTGCAGGTGGTCAAAACTGACGTTTTAACCTCCGCATTTCCCCTCTTTTCCCCCTCCTTTTAGCACTGTGCAGGAAGTGGAAGTGACTGGGATTGAAGACTCACCGGTCAACGGAAATGGTATCGCACTCCCCTCAATTTCTCCAGGCCCTCCAGGTTTGGTGCCCTGCGTCAGCAAACTCCAGGTCACTCCAGGATATCCGACCCTATCCGGGCCACGCGCGGTCATTTGCTTGCCGAACTCTGGAGTTGTGGGTGAGCACCCCCGAAGAGGAATAGTGGTAGTGGGGCATCTCCACATTGGGCAAGAATACCTTTTGTTCACGGCTCATCTTGTCGCCAGGCTTTCCCCCTCTGGAGCGCCGCTGATGCCCGTCTCGACCTGCCAATTCCTTGTTCTTTTCTTCTTCTCTGCTGTCTTGGCTGATGCACGAGTCTCACACACCCCTGTCGGTCATCATCAGCTCACTGTAACTGTAAACCAGACCTGTCTTCCCCCGGATATCGAAAATGGCACCAGACTAATCCATTTCTGTACGACAGCAGCATCTCCTCCTTCCTCGTAGAAACCGATGTCATCGATCTGGGGATTCCATGGATGGCTTCTTGACACACGCCTCCCGTGCCATGCAGGCGGGTGGCGTCGAACCCCTTCTAATCTCTAGTAGAGAATAATTTACCCCCGTGTGCCGATGCCGTCAGCCAACGAGATCCGTCCCCTGCTCTTCTAACTGTCCCGAAAGAGGCCCGTGGAACCCGATAGTACTGCAACTCCCCCTGGTACTCCGGTCGTTCCCCAGTATTCCGTCACTTCTGACTGGCCTGTCGGTTTCGGCCGGCCTTCTACGGCATACCTAGGGCCATTGAGAAAGTCGTCAGCCCTGGTCTCATCCCCCCCCCCGGCAGCTGCTGATGTCGGCTCTCCACATGTCGGCTCTCTGCCCAGGCGTGGATCTGTTTTCCCCCGATGAAAAATTTCCCCTCCCTCTTTTGTACACAGCAAAGGCATAAAAGGCCGCTCATTCCCCCCGAGGATGAGATCTTTCTGAATCAGGCATCTGCAACCTTCTCCTTTACTCCCAAACAAATCATTTCTTCCCAAAGAGGGTGATTGAGTTCAACCCTTCCATACCTTCACGGGTTCGACATTTCCCTATCGTCCGCTCCTTTGGGCTCGATCTCACTGATCATTACTCTCTTGGACAAAATCAAAACAATCCCCGCAGCCTTCACCCTTCTCCACCATGGGTGTTGAATCCTCTGCCAGCCATGGGGAGCACATCACCCCTGCTGTCGCTCCCCAGCAACAATCCAGCCAAGAAACGCTTGGCTACGACAAGCCGATGGAGATGGGCGTGGACACCCCCGTTCCTCGTGTCACGCTGCGCTCCTTCGTCCTGACCATGTTCGTCTCCATGGGAGGTCTTCTTTTCGGTTATGATACCGGTCAGATCGCCGGTTTCGAGCAGGAGGATGATTACCTCCGCCGGTACGGTATGCAGAAGGCGGATGGCACCTGGTATCTCAGCAATGTCCGCTCCGGTCTGTTGACCAGTCTGTTGTCTATCGGTACCTTGATCGGTGCCCTGGTTGCTGCCCCTATCGCCAACCGCATTGGTCGCAAGTGGTCGATCACCGTCTGGTGTGTCATCCTTATCATCGGTCTCATTGTGCAGATCACGGCTCCCTCGGGCAACTGGGTCCAGATGGTCATGGGCCGTTGGACCACTGGTCTGGGTGTCGGAGGTTGCTCCCTCCTAGTGCCCATGTACCAGGGTGAGAGTGCGCCCCGCCACATCCGTGGTGCCATGATCAGTTGTTACCAGCTGTTTGTCACTCTGGGTATCTTCTTGGCCTACCTGATCAACCTGGGAACGCACAACCTCGAGGGCACCGCCCAGTGGCGCATTACCCTGGGTATCACCTTCGTGTTTGCTCTCGCCCTCGGTGCTGGTATGGTCTTCTTCCCTGAATCTCCTCGCTTTGCCTACCGTCACGGCCGTATCGATGAGGCTCGTAACACCATGTCCAAGCTCTATGGTGTTCCTGAGAACCACCGCGTCATTATCAACGAACTGGATGAGATCCGGGCTCAGCTCGAGGCCGAGAACGTCAGCCAGAAGTGGCACGAGTTCATCACTGCCCCCCGCATGTTCTACCGTATCGTCCTGGGTATGGTTCTGCAGGCGCTCCAGCAGCTGACCGGTGCCAACTACTTCTTCTACTATGTAAGTTCATCTTGATCTTTCTCATATGGGCCGTCTTGCTAACATTCAACAGGGTACTACTATCTTCAAGGGTGCTGGTATCTCCGACAGCTTCATCACTCAGGTTATTCTCGGCGCCGTCAACTTCGGAACCACCTTTGGTGGCTTGTACATTGTTGAGAACTTCGGTCGCCGCAAGTCTCTGATGGTGGGTGCTGGATTCATGTTCGTGTGCTTCATGATCTTCGCTTCCATTGGCCACTTCATGCTTGATGTGCAAAACCCCGAGAACACCCCCGATGTTGGCAAGGGTATGATTGTTGTGACTTGTTTCTTCATTGCTGGTAAGTCCCGGACGACCTTTCCTTGGATACGTTGTCATAAAGCTAATTATCCTCCCAGCGTACGCTATGACCTGGGGTCCCATGGTCTGGGCCATCGTTGCCGAGCTCTACCCCGGCAAGTACCGTGCCCAGGGTATGGCTCTGGCCACCGCCTCCAACTGGCTTTGGAACTTCCTGATCGGTTTCTTCACCCCCTTCATCACCGGTGCCATCGACTTCGCCTACGGTTACGTCTTCGCGGGCTGTCTGCTGGTCGCTGTCTTCGTGATCTACTTCTTTGTCATCGAGGGCAAGGGCCGCACCCTGGAGGAGCTGGACTGGATGTACGTCAACAAGGTCAAGCCCTGGAAGAGCAGCAGCTTCGAGATGCCGACTCTCCACTCGGCCGAGTACTTCCAGGAGGAGGAGCGTCACCGCAAGGAGTCCCGCTCCTACCACGCGGAGAATGCCTAGGTTGGCAGCGTGGGAAACCGACGAAAAGTTATACCCCCGGGGATTGGAGTTTGATTTGGATGTGTTCATGATGTTTTTCACGTACAGTACATATGTGGTGGTGTGCATTTGATCGCATGATATACCAGGCTTGGCCATGTACATTAGATTTGCATAGTTCATACACTTTCTGCATTTTTTTTAACCTTTGAAGTGACTTCTAGTATGTAGTGTCTCATGCCTTGTGTAACTTGACTTGTTTCCATCGCGAATTCACCGTGATTGCCTTGCCACTAGGGTATGATGTCATGGTGTAACTGACATTACAGTACATTACCGCCTACACCGCCACACTAACCACCGCCACACTAACCACCGCCACAAATGGCTTAATGTTATCTTATCGAATTACACTGGACAGACCCACAGGGTGCATAGCTACTGCCTTGATGACAACAGAATGCGTAGGTCTACGGTATCACTTGAAAAACTCCATCCAGGCTGCAGACAGCAGCCATGACAAACCGGCGCCATCGATCCTCAGCCGTGCGTGTGGCTGACAGTTTTGACAGACCTCACGTAAGTCGAAGAGACGACCACTGCAACCTAATTCACGAAACAGCCAACCCCAGCACCGCAACCCCTCCATCTAGCCCCTAAGGACCCAACACTAGCGCCCCAATCCTTCCCGTCTCGTATCAACCACCCGCGATCCTTACATCCACCTCAACTCCGATCAACCCTTCAGCATAAGCATATTAACCCAGCTATCTCCCACCACATCACAATTAAAACCCCTCTACCAAACCACCCTCCGACCGCAATCTCCAACTCCAACTTCCCCACAACCAAAATGACGCCCCCAACCCAAGACCAAGAAGAACCGCGCCCAACAGTCCTCATAACCGGCTGCAGCGCGCAAGGCATCGGCTCCGCGCTGGCCCAAACCTTCCACGAGCGGGGGTTCCACGTCTTCGCCACGGCGCGCTCCCTGCACAAGATGGCCCACCTCGCCGACCTGCCCCACGTGACCCTCTTGGAGCTGGACGTGACCTCCGCCGAGCAGATCGCGCGGGCGGTCGCCGCCGTGCGCGCCCACACTTCGGGAAGGCTGGACTACCTGGTCAACAACTCGGGGCTGCCGCTGGTGCGGCCCGCGCTGGAGACGTCGCTGGCCGAGGCGCAGGCGCTCTTCGACGTCAACTTCTGGGGCGCGGTGCGCGTGACGCAGGCGTTCAGCGGGATGGTGGTCGCCGCGAAGGGGTGTGTGGTCAATATCGCCAGTCTGGGGGGGAATATGCCTGTTGTTTGGAATGGTGAGTTTCTGACCCCGGGGGGATAAGGTGTGGAGGATGAGGGTCGAGGAATGACGTGTAGGCTAATGAGTTGGGATATGTGGGGGTGAGGGCAGCGTTTTACGCCGCCTCCAAAGCCGCTTTGAAATCCTACGGTGAGACGCTTCGATTGGAGCTGGCGCCGTTCGGGGTTCGGGTCGTCACGGTGATGTCCGGCGTGGTGCGCACGCAGATCTTTGATAAGCATCCAGACCTGGAGTTTCCGGGGTCGATGTATGAACCGGCTACGGACGGGGTGCGGAGAATGGCGGCGGGGGAGTCGGTCAAGCATCCCATGGCGCCGGAGGAGTATGCGCGGAGGCTGGTGGAGGATTTGCTGAGTGGGAAGACCGGGTTGGTGTGGCGCGGGAAGATGGCGTCAATTGGGTGGTTTTTGACGACCTGGATGCCGACTTGGGTTTTGGTGAGTTTTCTTCCTTTGGCATTCTTTGGGGTGGGGACAGGCTGACTGTTTAGGATCGGATGGGGACGGCGGGGATGGGGTTGGAGGAGTTGAAGAGATAAGTATTCGATGGATATGGATAGTAGGTGGTATGTTGTTGGTCCATCTGACTCAAGAATAATTCTCAGTATTGTCGAGTTGTATATTAGCTAGATAATGTATGAACAATCCACACTCAGCTACCAGGGGAAGTCCATGATCTCGGGACATTAGCACTTGCAGGCAAAAGGTAGACATAGCGCTATACACAGCCTCCTCGGCAGAACGCCACTTCCAACCATAGCCAAGCCATATAAAACCCAGCCAGACACCACCCCCTTGTCCACAGCACCGTATGATCAACCCACAACCAGCCCACCCTTTGTAGCCCATCACATGCCCCCCAAACCCATCAACCCATCATCCGAGTGACAAACCCCCAGTGCTTGTCCCACCAAGCCAGATATCATAAACCGAAGAAGCCCCATCACTGGATTTCCCCCTGAAACCTTCTCTCCCCTCTCAAACCTTAACCTGAATCAAACACACCAATCGACAGCAACAATGCCCACCCAATCCCCTCCCAAGCTACGGGTCGCCATCATCGGCGCCGGTCCCGCGGGCCTCGCCGCCGCGATTGAGTTCGCCAAGTTGTCGTTCGTGGAGGCTCGGATCTACGAACAGGCGCGGGAGCTCCGCGAGATGGGGGCGGGCACCAGCCTCCACCACAACACCTGGCGGATGCTGGATGCGCTGGGGGTGTATGAGAATTTTGACGAGAGGGATCTGTTTCGGCCTGCGGATGGGCATTTGGTGCAGCATCGGTGAGTTTTCATTTGATCGGACTTTGAGGGTGCGGGGTTAGGTGAGGGTAATAGCTGATGCGGAAGGGTCGGAATGGGAGGACGGGAGAGTTGTTGCTTTCCACTGGGCAGGAGGGTGAGTTCCATCCATTCTAGACAGATTGGGTTTGGGCCGAAGGTTGATAGAAACGCCCGCGCGGTACCACCAAGCAAGAACCCTGCGCACGGTGCTGCAGAAGACGCTTCTGCGCAGTGTCGATCGGTCACGACTGAGATTGTCGAGTCGGTTGATCGACGTCGTCGAGATGTCTACCGGGGCACTGAGTCTGCGGTTTGAAGATGGCCATGAGGACGAGGCGGACCTTCTGGTCGGCGCGGACGGGATTCGCTCGGTGAGTATCACCCCTTTTCCTCGAATGGTCATCAACAAGACTCATATGTAGACCGTCCGCCGATTCGCATACCCGGACTACCGACTCAGGTACACGGGCACCACCGCCTATCGGGCCCTCGCGGACGCGAGCGACATTCTCAGCATCCCCGGCTTCCCCGATGCGAACACCTTCTGGCACGGTCCGCACAACCGGCTCTACACGTGCAATCTCCGGAACAACGTGTACGAGATCGCGGCGCGAGTGCGGCTCACGGAAGACGCTGCGCCGGTTAGCTGGGGGCAGGATGCTTCGGTGGAGGACTTTGGCGAGCGGTTCAAGGTTAGTGGGATCGTGGCTTCATGCGGTCATCTCAATCAGAATTGATTTGCCCTGATTGGCGACCAGAACTTCTCTCCCATGCTTCGAAATGCGATAGCCAAGATCAAGGTGGTCAAAAAGTATGCGCTCTTCAATGGACCGCGGTTGCCCCGGGTGGTTTCGCATGGGTCGATCGCGTTGATCGGGGACGCGTCACATCGTAAGTTAGTAGCTCAACGTGGTGACATGTACTGACAGCATAAATAATCAGCCTTAGCTGGTGAATTCGGTAGGGATTGAGCGTATATTATACAAATTGGGTGGAGTAAAGCTGACCCTCACAGGGACAGGAGCCGGCTGCGCCTTTGAGGACGCCTATGTGCTCAGCCGTGCAATACGGTGGGCGCACGACCGCGGGCATCATCCAAGTGAAGGACTGGACCTGTTCGATCAGGTCCGAACGCCGCATTATCATGCGATGGTAAGATGAATCGCCGCTGCAGACTACCCCTTACGTCTTACTTAATAACATAACGGGAATAGTACGATATTCTGGACGGATTTGCTCGGTCGAGCGTGTCGCGCAAGACAATCACCAGCTTCGACGATGCTGCCATTCAGATTATGGAAGACGAGTGGAGTGATGGGATCCGCTGGCTATATCATTACCAGGTCCGTTTCGGGGTTGGTGGCAGGAAGCACAACTACTGACTCCTGTTGCAGGTGGAAGACGTCTGGCACAAAGCCTGGAGGGCAGAAGATGCTCGTCGCAGTGTGCTTTATAGTGACGATCGCAAAGACAAGGCGAACCGGGTTGAAAGTAACTCTCATCTCTAAGCGAGTGAGCAGCCATATACTGTATACCATGACGTGTAAAGAATGCACTGTAACAGGACAGTGCGCCATGTAAACATTTATCTCCGAACCTTGGCAACTTAGTATAGCTGAGCCATTTCCGAAAGGGCGGTGTGCCATTCTGCCCACTCCCCACATCCACAAAGGGAATCGCGGTGTTTTCTTTACCGTTTTTCCACACCCCTCCAAATCCCATCCCTAAACTCCCATCACAAACACCCACTCTATTTGCACCCCTCCACCCTTCCATCCTTCCATCCCAACCAACCCCATAAACATACTATACATCGTGACCCGAATGCAAACCACCCAGCCACACCACGGAATGGCCACGCCATCCTCCCCCTTCAACTGCTTCGCCGTCGGCCCGCCCACCGACCCGAACGCGCCGCCGCCCCCTCCACCCGACCCATCCATGCTGCAGCTGCCCCCACCCCTCGAAGGCTGGTACGTGACCTGGGAGGAAGCCTTCGGGAAATCCCAGGCGTTCGCCGAATCCCACGGCTACCGGCTGGTGAAGAAGCGCTCCAGCAAGGGGGAGACGGGGGGCAACCAGATCAAGGCGCTGTACCTGATCTGCGACCGGGGCATCTTCAAGCCCTCCGTCGCGAAAATCCGCAAGCGGCCCAACCGCAAACGCATCGGGTGTCCGTTCGATATGTCCATCCTGTGGAATTCGCGGCAGGGCCTGTACCAGGTGCGCGTGCGCAATCCGTTGCATAACCATGGGCCCCGCGAGAAGACGCCGCCGCCGCGGGAGCCGTCGCCCGGGTCGAATTTGCCGTTTTTGAGTGAGGAGTTGCCGCCGCGGTTGGGGGAGGAGAATGAGGAGGATGAGGGGGAGGGGATGGGTGAGGAGAATACGCCTTCGGCGGAGTCGGAGGCTCAGCAGCAGCAGCAGCAGCAGCAGCAGCAACAACAACAACAACAACAACAACAACAACAACAACAACAACAACAACAACAACAACAACAGCAGCAGGCGAGCAAGCCTGCGGTGAAGAGGATCAAGATTCGCGGGCTGCGGGATGTAGCCGTCAAGGCGTATTGTGAGTGGCAGGAGTCGTATGTGCAGTCACCTCTGCTCAAGGCGGAGTTTCGCAAGGCGCGCGACGTGGCGTTGGAGAATGGGGTGGATCTCGAGCAGATGCACTTGGATCAGGATTGGGGGTTCCTTGTCGAGAATGGGGTCAAGAAGGGCATTGCGAGGCGTTTCATTGAGGATATCGGGGAATGGGCTAGGTTGTTTGAGGAGCTGTCGGGGAATTGAACCTTCGGCCGATGTTAGGGCTGCTTAGAAGGGGGTCCGGTGTGATGGACATGTTTAGTGTACATATCGTATTAGGCTCATTGGCCAAAGTGCTTAGCCTGAAGGTCTAATGGTGAAAATTACTCTCGCTGTAAACTATGGCTGGACAGCTTTTCATCTAGATTGCCAGAGAACTCGAGATCTGATTACGTCGCTTAGAGGGACGGTGTCAACCCACGCCGCGACCCAAGCACGTGAAAAACTTCCTTGGGGCCGAACAACTCGAGACGACACTTCGAATATGCAACAATCGTTAGAAGTGCTCTGTTGAGACATCTCATTGGACAGCGCGTAAGTCAGGGTGACCGCCGATCCTGAGATAACGTGGGTGACGTTGATCTATGGGGGCTATTAGGGCGCAGTCGACATCTGCAGCGGCAAGGATCGGGGCCGGAATCCTGCCGGAAAAATCTTGTGCAAGGCTATCTAGCATTTGTTCCTGACAGACGGTAAGCTTGACACTGCATGCTGCTGCGCAGCAGCCGTACGCGTCATGCTTCCCCGCAAAACCGCCCCCAGGCTTTTCGGCACTAAGCCACTAACCTCATTCGCTTATGCGGAACTATGTCGGTTTCATGGCAACATGGGTCATCAAGTATGCACTTGTCAGTATGGAGATTGCGGTGTTGACAGGAAAGGAGACACAAATGGAGGATTGAGAAGGTATAAAAGGGGGCTGTCATCTGTGGTTTTAGGTCATCATCATCATCGAAACACACTCAACCCACCCCCACAAGCAAAGCAATCACTCCTTTGACTCACTCAAGTCTATCATTCTCCATTCAATCAATCCACAAAATGAAGGTCTCAACCGCCCTGGTTTCCGCCGCCGTCTCCCTCCTGACCGGGCCCCAGCTCGTCTCCGCGCTCTGGTCGTGCAGCGAGCTCTCCAAGCTGGGCGACACCGCCATCGACGGCACCGCCTATATCCACTACACCTCCATCCGCGATAGCAGCTACAAGGCCAACGGCGAGGGTGCTGCCGAACCATGGGTACGATGATCCCTCCCCTTTGAACTACCGTGCCAGTCCAGAATGCACAGTGGCTAACCGCACTAGATCGCAATCTGCACCCCCAGCGATGACTCCTGGAGCCAGACGGACTTCGGCCTCCCCTGCACCAACAGCGCGGGCGGCAGCCAGCCTTACACCTTCTCCTCCTCCGAGACCGGCCTCGGCGCCAGCCTCGTCGTGTACAGCGGCGAGGGCTGCGATGCGAGCGCCTCCGACCTGGAGGGCGGGTACATCTCCTTCGACGGGACGACCAAGGAATTGAACTCGGACTGTGGCACGCGCAACAAGGGCGTCACCTGCCAGTTCTCTTACTCGGCTTAGAGTAGCCTCTTCGTTTGGATGCAGGGGGGTTTTCACCGTTGTTATTGGGATAGGGGCAGTGATGATTGCGGGATTTGGGACTGAGACTCGGCTATTTCTTTTGCTAGTTCTTTTTTGTGTTGGGTATCAGATGAAGGAAGCAGTTGATGCTATAGCATGGCTTGTAAGATGAGTGGAATAATGCACTTGCGATTTGCCCCGAACATCACGCCTATCAAATCATATTAGTATGCTTGGTATGCAAAGAAGAGATACGACGATAAAGTTGAAAGAGTCTCATACAGTGGGCAGAACCTCGAAACAAAGGTCCAGCACCAGCATTAGTGGTGATAATCGAAGCAGAGCGCGGGGGCAGAAAATAAACGAAATCAAAACCTCGATCCAAGACAATGAGCAAGACAAGGCCATTGTTCTTACCACATCCGATCTTTATCACAGCTGCGCTCATAGCCGGAGAGTGCCATCCATGATCCCCACACCTCATTATCCACATCCAATGACCGACCCTCCCCTCAAGGTTTATAAATACAACTCCCCTTACCCACCCTATACCTCAAGCCAACATACACCAAACCACAAGTGACCCGACAACCCAGGTACAACCCCCATCAACAAGACACAACCTCAGCAAACGCACATTGTACGGGACTCAGTGAAAAATGATACCCCGTTCACCACGGGCCCCGCCCGGCTACATCGCCATCTACTGGGCGGAGAAGGTCATCCTGCTAATGGTGCTGCACCTGAACTCGCCCATCGCGTGCGACCCGGAGCGGCCGTTCGACTCCGCCGAGGCCCAGCGCGTGGTGGAGCGCGGCTTCATCGACACCTTCTGCGGCAGGGTGATCCGCTCGAACATCTCGGGGGATTTCGCCTCGCCCAGAGGCTACGATGAGGTCGTCGGCCGGGAGGGCGCATTCGACAACTGCGTCGAGCTCACCAGGGAGCTCATGTGGGCCGTGCACCACGATCCTTCCGTCCTGGAGGGCAATGGGGAATCGCTGAGGGACCGACTCCTCCTAGGGTGGGGTATTGCGTAGGCAAGTCCTTCGTGGATGCAAGGAAAGGGAGATTTGTGCCTTGATTCCCCCGGTATATAAATAGCTCTGCTACGTGGGTGTGCTCAATGTATACGTGTGTATATTCTGCACGCGGAACATGGCTAGATTGATATTATAATTATCGATTACTTCTTTTTTCCCCCCAACTTTAATTGGTAAACTTCCTCAAGTTGTAAATCTAGATCTTCTGTACGTTCATTTCTTGCCTAATTGATGGTATCTTTTTGATATGACTTTTTGTTGTTAACCAATTTCTTTTTGTGTCTCAGCTTTGTAAATTCCTTTTACCGAGACTTGTGCTGAGGTTTGACAGAATCTTTTGTGTTTCAAATTACCCCGGACTTAACTTAGAGAGTACACGCCGGGTCATTCAGCAGCCTGGCTAATATGCTCTGCACTATCAGGCGGTAAAGTCGGGATGGTCGCCTAGCAGAGGGTCACCACGACTGAACGAACAGACCACTCGAATTTGTATCAGCGAACAAATTATGTACAAGCTCATGTGCATATATGACTGTAGAAAGGGAAACTGTAGAAAGGGATAAATACATAATTGAAACAAGGATTGAATCATCACATATGCAATAGCAGGGCAAAATGCTTGGTGTTGAGGGTATCCAAATCCCGCCAGCGCTTGAAGAAAAAACAATATTAAGAATAAGTCCACAGGAAATTGCGGATCACAATGATATTAGAGAAACTAGAGGTGTACCCGAAGAACTCATCATCTTCTCGCTCAAACAGCCTCCCAATCCATCGCATCGACCAAAAAGTCCCACTCGTCGGGGTCACTCTCGCTCTCGCCGGCGGTCGCCGCGGCATCATCCTGGCCCGCCTCACGCCCGAGCTCATCAACCCGCTGCTGGGCGATGTCCGCCGCCTCGACCAGCCCCTGTAGGATCTGGACGAAGATGGTATCGAAATCGTAGCTCTCGAGCGGGGTCAGCGCGTCCTTCCAGGCCTTGTAGCCCGCGCGCCAGGTCTGGGGGTCGCGCTCGCGCTCCTCGGGGTCCATGTCGGCGTACTTCCAGCGGTTACGCAGCTCCTTGGCCTTCTGCAGGTGCGCGAAGCGCTCGCCGGACCCCAGCACCTCGAAGTACGGGCTGTCGAGGTCGCGGAGGGCCTCGAGGACGTTGGCGTGGTAGCGGTGGGTGGAACTGTTACCTGCATTCATCTCGTCCGCCCAGCTGATGTTGGTGTTGGTGTGGGTGGACGGGTGCGCCCGCGAGACGTGGATGTTCCACACCAGCATCAGGTACACCAGCGCCCGCTCCAGCAGCCCGTAGTACTCGTGGAAGTCGAGCTTGAACATCTGCTCCGCGTACAGCTGCTCCGCGGCCGGCTGGTCGCGGTTCGTCGCTTGCTTGAACCCGTCCACCAGGTGCCGCAGCTTCCACTCCAGCCGCCGTCGGATCTTCCGGTAGCGCGAGAGGGCCTCGACGGCGTCGGCGATGGACGGTGGGATCGGTCGCTTCTTCTTTTTCGTGGGCGACTGAGAGTCAGAGCGGAGGCTGTGCGCGGACGAGGAGGGCTCCGGCGTCGGCGGCTCCAGGTGCGTCGGGATCTTCTCCCATCCGTCGCCGAGCGAGGAGCTCACTCCGCCGACCACCCGCGGGAGCCTTTCGGCTCGTTGCTGCTGCTGCTCTTGGTGGTGCTGGGTTGGGCTCGTGCTCGTCGGCGCCGTGCCGTTGCTGGGGGCAGGGCGCGGTGACGGGGTCCAGATTTTGGGGTTCGTGTTGGATGCAGATGACGCCCCGTTGAGAGTGCTGCTGGCTGTGGCGGTGATGGTAGTACCGTTGGTGGTGGTGGTTGCAGTGACGGCGGGCTGGGGTGGCCGGATCGTCTGCGGAGCAGGCTTGGTTTTGTAAGACCCTTTGTGATGGCGATTCTGGGTCCCACCACGACCATGAGAGAGCTGATGATGAGTGGTGGTTGTGGTGGAGCTTACACTGGATGGCTTGTCGGAGCCCTGGGGAGCCCAACGCGACTTGGCAAGTTCTTCACTCATTTCTGGATCTGTTATGATGAGGATAATGCGTGATGAGATAAGTTGAGATAAGTTCGCGTCAGTTTCACCCAAATAATCTTATCGGGTTGCGGGAAAAGTGAAACGGGCCCTGGCCTGGCATGCGACGACGGGAAGGCGGCTATTTATGCATCTGACTAAACTTATGCCGCCGCTTTGTTGCTTCACCGCGGGAGTCTCCGCCCTCGAGCCTTTGTGCTTTGAACAACTAAATCTTTGTGAAGTCAATTGGAAGTTTGTGCTATGAGATATTATTAAAGTGATGAATTAAATCTGTAGGTGTACTTCATCATGGAAAGAGACTCGTGACAATGGGATCGACTCGATCTTTGTAGATAAGAATTAATACATAGAAAAAAAAATCTTTGAATGATTGACAGACAGACCCGGTGACAGATGCCTCCCCCCCGGATGGAAGTGATGTATTCGGTGCAAAGGGTATCAAACAAACCCGAGAACAAAGCAAAACCCTTCATGACTCCATAACACCGTTCCTCATGGATGATAAGTGAAAGTATCGGGGAATCCTTTCAGACCCG